TAAGGAGACAACTCAGTAGATTATTCTGTCACCGGGAATGTTTGTCGGACAACTACAGTTTTTGCTTTAGCAACACTAGCGTGGATCTCTCGCAAAGGACGCCATATTTATCCCTAACTCCCTAGGGTGTGCGCAAAATCCTATTAAAATTGGAGGATTCAGGGCTGTTAGGGTCATAGGAACATTAAAGCTTTGTATTTTAACATCATCAGGTGTGTGTGCATGCTGCATGTAAAATGTTCTACGCCCGTGATCAAAAATTTTTTTGAAATCCTGTGCAGCCGATGCACGCCACAAAAATTTGATATCTAAAATGCTTATGCACATGGCAATTTCATCGGAAGTGATGCAGTTTGAGAGACTTGTTACCTGTCAGTTTGGTGGGGAAAAAAAAGCTGCCCTTATGCAGTATCTAGAATTACAGCGTCCTGTCACTGAAGTGCCAGAGATTATGGCAGCCCATAAACAGAACGGATAATGGACGATATCTCTCTTTTCGCATACCGACCCAACAATTCATAGGTGTTTTTTTTTTAACACATGATTACATTGGAAATATACGTGTGTGGATAGTACTGAGTGTAAATCCATTTGTTTTTGTGCAATATCACATATAAATGATTAAGGGTGGATGGCTAACGCTGTGATAATACACCGATGTTCAAGATTTTGGTCACAAAGTAGAAAAACTGATCTCTGAGTTCAACAAAATGGTGGTACCAGTACTCTACAGTCAACCATTCACATTGAGCAAACAGCACACCAAGCGAGGACAGTCCTTTCTGGATAAAATTTGTTGATTCCTCTTGGTTATATTGTGATATTGTTTTCCGTGAAAAAATTCAGTCATTGGTGATTCAACCAGTGGTGTGTAACCTGTCATAAAAAGCCTGCATAAACCCAGTTGTCCAATAGGCGATTTGTTGATCATGCAACGTAAATTATTTGCCCCAGTGCCTGGTGCAGATGCGGTGCAAACAGTGCGTAGTAAAACCATGTAGAATCAAGCGATAGTTTGTTGAAATGTAGTGTTGTAGTCGAGACCACTTAAGACCTTCACAAGACCACACCAGACCTCCAGTCTGAATTCAAGTCGCAAGCTATTCAAATGAATTGCAACAAAAGCATTCCTTTGTCGTCGTTCACTCTATTACTTGTGACTGGCCTTGTACATGGTCTTGTGTCTGGTCTTGTGATGGTCTTAACTACAGCACTGGCACTCGTACATTAAAGGCCAGAAGGAGAAATTTGTATCGACCAGCTCCTGTAGTGATTTCAAGTGCAATGTTAAAACGATAATTTAAATTACCAGTGAGGTGACAAAGGTTGATGAGGCATTGTGTAAAAGAAATAACGCATGTTTTACATAGGCCTACAAGCAGTGGCTTGAATGTTGTATTCCTTGGAGCAAAGCCGATGAGTGGGATGGATAGTTCTGTGAGTCACCTCATGAACTTTGTCTTGCATGGCTGCTATACCCTCACTTCAACATTCGTTATTTGTGTCACATGCAGTGAACACACTGGACAATGCAAATGCATGCTCAGACCAATGGTGGTAAAATGATACAGTGACAGGGTCAAATTCTTCCCGAATGAGTTTCTACAGTGCTCTTACCGCGAGCTGCACTTCTACAATTTTTCTCGCCCTGATCCCTTATTACGCAGAATGTATCAGTCATTTAATTTCTGATAATCAGTACCTGGGGCTCAGATAGTTCTTTATTTCTTGAATTCCAGACATAACATGAAATTTTGCCGGAGTGGAGGATGGAAAGAAATATAAAGAAAGTTCTGCTTTTCTTCCACAGTTAACTTAGGGTTAACTCCAGGGTTGAAGTAGAAAACAAAGTTAAATATACATGCAGTCCATTATTTATTTAGTTTTGGGTTTTTCAGAACACCAGAAACACCATCGAGAATGAGATAATATCAATTGTTTCCTTTTATCTTTTTTTCTAATTGCATTTTTTGGGAGTTGGCAGGTTTGTCCTCCACCTAACCTGTTGGTTTTACAACTAAGGAGGCAGCAAACACTGAAGTTTTATAATTATTTCACTGAAAACTTATATGCACAAGAGCAATAATCTAGAGTCAGTAGTTACAGTTTTCATGTTAGTAATTTTTGTATTTACAAATGCAATATATACTAATGAACTTAATCAGTTTTACTGAAGATAAAACATATTCATTTCTGAGGTCTCAGGCTCAGTCTTGCACTAGTCATTATGTACATGAAAGTTTCACATTGTTGCAAATGCCTCATTTATGAGGACAGCACTGAAACCTTAAAAATTTCAGAGGTCCCGGGTTTGAATCCCTTACTAGTTTATTCTTTTACAGTGAAAATTATATTTCTGCACAAATTTTTTGTTATTGTAAACTGCTTGTACATTATTATAGAGGTTTCAAGTTTCAATCAAGTATTAGTCATTTGTTTTTAAATGCAGAAATGTATTTATTAATTTTTGCATTATGGAAATGTATCCATTCACCTTGTTGAATTGTCTTTTACTGTGATATATTTAACAAATCTTTCGATGCACTGAAAATGTTCATAAGTAGATAAGAGGTTTTGTCCCACAAAAACAAATCCTGCGAAATAAACACATCACAATTTCAACTGGGTACCAAGTCACACAGTTGTTTTAGGAAATTGATTCCAAAGTAGTAAGTCTATTCAAATCATCCACCATCTTGAAATAAATTACTTTCCTCTATGGCAATGTCCACAGTTTCCTTTTTTCCCTAATTACAGTATTTATTTCGTTTAAGCATATCATAACCACAGGTTTGAAATCTCTGTTCAAGGATCAAAATTTCTGATCGGAATTTACCCACCTTAGCCAGTCAAGTTGACAATTTAATGGAGGGTGAATCACACAGATGGTAGAAACTCTCTAAGAACACTTGAGTGGTCTTTCATCAAGTCCCTGCCAGTGAAATTGCTGTTCCTTGTCCCAAGTTTGCCTGGTAGTTGGCATGGTTTAAGAGAAGAAAAAAATCCAAAGTCAGGCTGTTGAAGGCTTTGGGTAGGCAGTGTATTGATAGTACTGACAATCCTGACGAGTGGTGTAGTCAGTGCTCTTGACCTCCCAGATAGTGGCATTATTCAGGAGGCATTGCATTCCCCCTGAAGTCTCCAGGAGGTTGAAGGAACGGCAGCCAGGCTCCAGGGAGCAAGCCTTGCAGCACTGCACAGGATGGGCAACACTGGTTTCCATGAAGCCGTGGTTCATCAGGCAGGTGCTGTTCTGTTTGACCCCTCCACGCCCTCCGGCTGTCGCCCTAGCCCCGATGGCAAAGCAGTGGAGATACACGGTGGGCAGGCTGGCGCGACGCTCGCAGATTGGGTAGAACTGACTTGAGCAGTCGGCAAGGTCGCTGCTCACCACATCCTCAGCCACGAACATGACGGGGCAGTTTTCGCTGTTGCCAATGAAGTACTCCTGGTTGAGATCACTGGAACACCCGCTTGTGTCGAGCGCATACCAGACGGAGACATTGCAATTGCTCGCCAGTGCCCCAATAAACTGGCTTTCACTTGTAGAGGTGGAGTCTGCCAGGCACCCACCAGCCGATTTGCACAATCTTACTGCCTGGGACCAGGTGCGTTGGTGATCGTTGAATATCTTGTAGCAGGACTGGCCATTGCGGGCCCATCCCTCAAGACAGATGTGCCTGCCTGAAGTCAAGCAGCCATCACCTATTAACGCACTCATGGCCCAGATGAGCAAACCACTAAGCAGTATTTTTACACAGCACATAATTCTACACTGGCTGTCTTACTCCACTTTACATGGAAAAGGCAAGCTTGGCAACAGATGAATGGCTCAACACTTCAAGCGCCAGCTTCTCAGAAACTGATTGCAGTTTGGTGTCGTGTGTGTATGTCATAGGCTGCTTCCTGCCTCATGACTCGCACATCTAGTCATTATTGGGCTGTGCGCCGGTGCAAATTGTTTTTTTCCCAGCTAATTTAACTGTACCATCTCTCCCATAGATTAAGCAGCACCACAAAAAAACAAAGTACCTACCCCGAAGGTGAGCTCAATCTACACCGGATCCCCTCGTAACCGTTCAGCTTGACTGGTTTTGAATACACGCAGAGGATGATGGATTATTATGATCCATCTGTGAACAATGGCAAATGTTACCCATAGCCAGTCTGAAGAGCGGCCAGACAGTATAGGCTCTCTGACAAATGCATAATTTGATGGACTCTCTTATCCATTTTAAAGGCAGTAATGAGCACCAAAAACCATTAGAGTCACCGTCCATTTCACTCAAGTCTTAGTAAAACTCAGTTATGCTTATTGGGAAATGTCAAACATTCTGAATTGATCCAATAGACCGTATTCGCAGCGTTCCCAATTTCAGTTGTATTCCTGAACGTACAGTTTAAATTTGAAACCCGTAATGAGATGGTACCAGGTGATTTTGGGGGTCGGAATGAAATTGTAGAATATAGTCTGGTTCCTTGAATTTAATGTTTTCAAATAAATACATTACGTTGGGGAATATGACTGAAATTGGGGACGCCGTAAATACGGTCTATTACGATTCAGCAGTAGCATGGTTGTACATGTTCTTCATCAAGGAATCGTGTTCTCTTACATTGTTTTTGATGATATACTCTTTCTTATCAAATTTGAAAGAGTAAGAAGTATAGATACCTGTACATAGGAAATTCAAAGAAACCCATTGAAAGAAAACTTGTTTCACATACAAAAAAATTGAAATATAAAAATGTGCATACTGTTTATTGACTGCTTACAAAAACAACACTATGAATTAAAACAAAGTTTACATGGGAACAATTTACAAGTACAACGTGTCTTCATCATGTGAAACACAAAGCATTTACCTGGATGAAACAAGCTTTCAAATTCAAAGTCTCCTTCATTTCAACATGTGTATTCCAGAAATGAAGGAAACTTCCAAAGTTTAATTGATGTAAGAAATTTTAGAAGCATTCATTGAAGTTACGTCATTTGGTACGTTATTTTGTCTCTCCTGATCACTTGGCCAAACTCAGCAAACTGACCAAATTAATTGATATGAACAATCAACATGGTTTTTTAAATTACAGATTGCAGCATTAGCTTCATTGCTTGTGGCCTAAAGTTGAATAAAATTAACCATCAACATCAGAAAGTCTTCCGGTTCTAGCTTTTAGTCATTTGTAGAATGCGTAGTGCGATGACAATTGGGGTTGTTGCTCTAAGCTTAATTTTGACAAACGACGAAATGCTGTTTGTTTGATGCATTCATTAAAGTGACTGATGGGATTGAATTAAATCATTGTCTTAAGCAGAAAACAAAATCTGTCATACTTTCATGCCTATTGTTTATGCTGTCTGCAGTCACTCTAGCTCTTATCAAGACATCAAGACTTTTGTATTTTGCCAGTCATGAATATATTTGCATAAACCTTCCATGAATGCTGATTGGAGGAAGTTGCTTGTGTAATTCAGCATGTCCAAGTTATGGTAAACTAATGCAGAAAACCTGTGGATTTCTATTGCACATTCAGCAAATAGTTTATAAGGTCATCGTGTATTTTGAATTGTTTAGAGCTTAACCCATTAAGAAAGTCTGAGGATTTTTATTCTGGAAAGCTGGAGTTGTAATGAGTGTTGAAATTATTTCAACACTCTCCCTTCTTAATAGGTCTCCTTTTTCTGAGCATCGTATTGTTATGCAAAACACTATTCTGTATCTTGTAGCCACTGGCGGCAAAACGATTTTCAAAGTGGGGGACAGTTGCGAGACCATCAGGCATCAGCCATTAATAGGCTAATGCATTAAGCCCCACCCAATTATAGGACCTGCACAAAGTGGGGGGCAATGCTCCCCCCCACAAGTCAGTCACTCACTGATGCCAATAAATGAGGTTTTTAAAGCAAAATGCAAAATGCCACCGTATGATGTAAATCCGTACAATCTGTAAATAAAGCTATTATTATTATTGTTATTATTATATCTTGGGTTGAAGGTGCTAAAGATGAATACCTACATCTCAACCACTTTTATCGCTTTGTTTCCACTGTCCCTGAAATGCAGGTACAACAGTGAGGATGAGTTCTCCAACATGGCCGTCATCCAGGTGCGCATGGTATCTGGCTTTGAGGCCGACGCCAACAACATCCGCACGCTGAAGTCCAGACCCCCCTCCCCCTACCTCAAGAGGATTGATGAGGAGGGCAAAGATGTCTTCTTCTATTTTGAGCAGGTAGCTGAGGATAATGCACTGTGGTGATTGATTGACAGTGGTGGGAATGAGGGGTGACCGGTTACGGGTTTTAGGGTAACTGAATACCCAACTGAAAAAAGGTAGCTTGACATTGCAAATTTTGGTGAGTGCAGCGCATGGGAATCCAGTTTGATTTTTCTCTGATGTCAGGTTTTCAATTTTTGAAAATTCTCCAAGGTGGCCTTCAAGAACCTTTCCTAGTCATCAGGGTCTGGGAAATTACAAAGTAATTGGTGAAATTTAAATTTGTTTGTAGGTACTCAGTCCCATATTTATGATCGGCTGCCTGGGTACCTGGTTTTGGTGCACAGCCCCAGCTGGAAGTTTGGGATGATGGTGGCTGTACATTGTGGTGAAGTGATGGTGGTGAGGAAGTAAGATACAAGCAGTGATTATTTATGATGGTGATGTGGGATTGATGGTCAACTTTGTGGTGAAACTGTGGTAGCTGTTTTCATTTATGGTGATGAAGATGATGATAAGCCCATGGGCAAGTTCAAGCAGTTACCACTAGTTAACTAGTGGTTGGTTCGTGACATACCCAGTGCATATGCAGCCAAGTTGAAGTGCGAATGACCCCAGTCAACCGTTGTCAGGTCATTTGGCCTAAGCAGAGAAAACTTGGCAGCAGAAAGGGTAAAATGGCAAAAAGAAAAGTGAAAATGGTTGTTTACTTGTGACATACAGTTTTCCCGGCATTTTTCTTATAACTGGTCCTCTCTGCACTGTACTATTAAAAATGGCTTATGGCAACCAACGATAATAATAATAAGGAATAAATAGAGCATTTATAATGTTCACAGTATTTGGAAAGTACCATTCAAAAGCGCAGGTCTGGGAAAGTTAAAGATGGAAAGCAACCTCAATAGGCTGGTCACGAAAAGTTGACTAAACCAGTCCAACCATCGTTGACTAGCCTGCATTCGATCATTCAATAGGCTGGTCACGAATAGTTGACTAAACCAGTCCAACCATCGTTGACTAGCCTGCATTCGATCATTCAATAGGCTGGTCACGAATACTTGACTAAACCAGTCCAACCGTCGTTGACTAGCCTGCACTCGATCATTCGATTAACTGTGGTTAACTATGATCCTTGATTGAACTAGCCCCATGATGATGGTAGTGATTGTAGGAGGAGGGCCGTGTTGTTGGGTGCTCTGCTGTGGTGAGATTGTGCTGAATGTGCAAGTAATGATACTGAGCCTAGGCTGAGTAGATTTGCACAATGTATTCCCATAATGTCAGAAACTGCAATATTAGTGGCAGTTTGCTAGCATCCAATTTGTCAAAGGCATTCTGGGGATGGGGGTGGGAGGAAGGGCTTGTTTCCTAGTGTAGGCACTCAATGCGTTGCACACAATGCACATCTCGCTCTTTTTTGGAGCAGTTGGATGAGGGGGACGCACTCAGCTTGTGCCCTATTTACACTGTCGCTGAAGTCTTTCCAAGTGAAAAAAAGAAGAAATGTTTGTTCTTCACAGATGTTTACAGGGGAAACTGTTAGTTGCACCACAGAGCCCGGGGAATCTGAAAGTGCGAGGGCCACTGGTCCTCAGTCTTAAAATGTTTTACATAGTCTGCTCACATTGTCAACTTACGTTAGGACTTGGTTCTCAAAAGTGAAGCTCCCTTTTCATGAAATCTCACACCCAATTGGGGGAATGATGTAAAAATGCAGCATCAGTGTTATGGTATAAATTGATACATTACAGATTCTTAAGTATTTTACAAAGCAAAACACAACATTCCCCTTTTTCATCAGCTTGGTCATGAGGATACCTGTGTGGATTTACTCGTCAGACGAGATGTCTTTGTGAAGGAGCCACGTGACGGGGTCATCACTGTCTTTGACTACTATGAGAAAGGTGAGACTTGCCAAGGAGAGAGAACTTGAAGTGGAATTCTCATCACCTTGGTTACACTGTTGGAGACAGTGCCAAGAACTGGAAAAAGGCCATTGTATATCAACAAATTTTTCACAGCAAGTGTGCTGTCTCCTCCATCTCTGCATGACAGATGCTTTAGGAAAGATCTTTAATCCTGTAAAATTGTCTCTGTCACTATTGTTTAAGGCCCTGTGTAACTGCTGTTTTCACACTGTTTCAGTGCTGTTTCTCACGCTGTTCCACGCACTTTTTTTTCTCACAGCTCTGTCAACCTCGCAGTTATACAACTTCGAGTGTCAAGGTGTGGCCTAGGAGCAGACAGTTAAGCAGCAACATCAGCCCAAAACATCAAAAGTGACCGCCAGGCAGTCATCTTATTGGCTGCTCAGTTATAATTCTGTTGAAAAATAATGTTTAAAAAACAAATCATCGACCAGCCATACAGCCCTGAATGAAGCATGTAGGTTTTAACGTTTTAAGGTATGCAGGGTTATGTTTGCTTTCTTAATTTACACATATAAACAGGTATTTATTGAAGCATTTTAGGTATTATGGCATTCCATATAAGCACTTAGGAAATGAGCCATGGGCATCACCAGGATTGTTTTGGGGGACGGGGGGAGGCAAAGCAAAGCACTCATCAACAGTGAACTGATACACCAGTAGCAGCTTTTTTAGGCAAATTGGTGATTTTCATTCATTTTTATTTCGGTTTTATATTTCTTCAATTTTTTCCCCTTTTTATTTTTCCAACTTTTTTTTTGGGGGGGGGGGAAGCAGCCCCTGCTCACCTCCCCTTCACGACACGTGGGCCCTGAATTTTTGGGTTTAAGTTTACTGAAGTTATATCAGTTGGAATATTGGTTCATATCAGCATACACATTAGTTTAGAATTAAACTTCAAATCAAAGCTTAGGTTTAAAATGGGTATATCTACACATAAATCCCAGTTGGTGGTATGAAAGTAGAAGTTTCCCTTATTCAAGTGAAAATATGTAATAGACTGAAATCTCTTAATTTTTATGCTTCAGTGGAAATGTTATTAAAAATGTTTAATTCATAAAAATTTTAGCAATACAAAAGAGCTATGTAATTAGACAAGATACACATGGAGTACGTCTGAAACTAACGGCAAAAACAAGTACAGTTGCATCCAGAAGATTTACATTGTTCAGGTTTTGCTTTTGAAGTGAAAATTAAAAGTATGATTATTAGTAATTTTTTGTTTTTTAGTTGTGTTGACTGACTGTTGTTCTGGTTATTTTTTTGAATGAAAAAAAAAACAACACTTCTTGTCTAAACACAAAACCTGTCCACGAGGACATCGACAGTCAACACTGTTGCTACATGTAGGGTCACATGATCTGTTATTCCAAAGGACAGAGCAGTATACAAACACATTAGCTAAACCCGTGACTACCTTGATTGTTTGTGGGTAGATCTTTATCGAGATCTTTCCACTTTTTTTTTTCTCTCTCTCTCTCTTTTTTTTTGTTGACAAGAGGAATGAGAGAGCCATTATCTATCCTTGGTGACCAGCAAACATGACCTGTCAGGAAATAAACTGAAATAAGTTTGCCATTGACAGATAAAATGACAACCCAAAGGGGTCAACAACAATTCCAGAGCCATGATTAATAGTGGCCTTAGTTGTGTTGCTTCAAACTTGCATTTGGGATACTCTGACGCATTTGGGACTTTAGAATAAAGTTTAGATTGCTTCTACAAATAAATTCAACTCTTGAAATACTAATACCCATTGTTCTCTTAGGAATCTAAATAAAGTTCATGGTGGAAGAGTGATTGAACCTGTGTACAGTTTTTCTTCTCTCAATATTATGTAATAGGAGTGCCATTTTGACATTGCTAAAACAAAAGTGTAGTCTATGAGGTCTTGGATATTTGGGGGAAAAACAAAGTTTTCTACATTAAAGCCAAAAATAAATGTAAAAATGCATTCCGTCAATGAGAAACGAAGCAGTACATTTGGAGAGATGGAGGGACTGCATGCATAGGATGCTTCAGGCGCACTTTGAGTAAGCCGATCTCCGATAAACAATTCTTGGAGGTTAAAGATCGAGTGCTGACAAATGTTAAAAAGACATGAGATCGTACTATTTCAATTTGGGCATGGCGTATGGATAGAGTTGTAACCAGAAGAAGATTCAAAGGGGATCCCTCGTGTTTTGATTTTTTTTCTAGAGGTACTACTATTTTGTTCCCTTTTTACACTTGTGCTCAGTTGGTTATTTTAAATCATTTTAGCCCAACATGTTGAGCGCCTCCCCCCGGAAATGCTGGATTCACTAGTGGTAACCCAGCTTATTTAAAGAATGACACGTCCCCCGTCTTTCCCCTCCCCTACCAAGGCATATACAGTGATTGGTTTAACATGCTATTAATTTTGAGCTAACTGCCTTGAATGTTCAGACGTACAGTCTGAACGTTTGCCGGCCGTGTACAGTTGAAATACCATCTACAGTTTTTCAAAAACTGACGAAACTATTGTTGAAAGGCATACTTAGTTTAAATATGTTTATCGGACTAAACTCCCCATGAAGTTTTTCCTTTTGGCAAGCTACCACTTAAGAAAACGATGAAAGAAGGCAATTTCCAATGATGTATGTAGAAGCTACTGAAAGGTTTTTACAATTTTTTACGAGGTTTTGTATTTGTGTTTTGTATTTGAACAAAAAAATTATCTTGGCAAATTTGTAAACTCCCCTCCCCCAGAATCTTCCAAAAGCTATTTCAAAAGAAATTGTTCTTACGAGCTAAAGAGTTACATCTCATCCCCTCCTTACAAAGCAACCGAGTTAGGAAGCACACAGGTTTCTGCGGGATTTATTGGCACAGCACTTGATTTAAATCAAATAAATAGTTTCCGTAAAAACTGAAATGTGGACCAGAACAGGGACAGTAAATTATGCATTGCGAATATATCACTTTAAAAGTGTTTAAAATTTGATGCTGAAATGGTTGGAACTTGATCACTTTTTACTTTTTCCCAGTTCGGGTGCACAAACTCAAACGACCCACCCATACCTGAGAAAATAAACCCCACATAACACAAATAAGACAGACACACAGATTGACTATGAGCGCGTAAATCATTCTGAATGTTACCACATTCAAGGCAAATATTGCAAATCACAGTTTCACTCTCAAGTTTCCCTTTCTGTCTTTAACCTGATTTAAGTCAAGGACGAAAGGAAGTTACTGACTAATTGTCATCGGAGTGCAATAGCATTACTCAGATGTTTTCTTCGTCTTTTTTGAAGTGATTCGACACCAAATTCATATGTGCCACTCCGCCTTTGAAAGTCTGGGAAATACATGTACTTGTACGGCAAATAATGCCTTGTCATTGGCTGGAAGTTCCGCTCTAAGCGCGTAACAAATCCATTCTATGCAAAATAAAGAAACCGCATCTCCCGTACCTGGCCTGTCACATAACACATTATGCCCAAACCTACTCTGTGGCCATATTAGTGAATCATGTGTTTATGGGGCTGCCTTTCTGATCGTGGAATGTTATTTTTGTTACGTCCAATTTAGGCTTGCCTGAACGTTTGCAGGCCTTTTTATATTCTTAAACTGTTTCGAGGTCATCGTAGTTGCTTTCTTCTCCTGTCTTTCTTTGTTGTTAAGTGATCCAATTATAAAAATGGGATGTTGGAAAAAGTCTTGGCAAATGTGCAAAGCAACAATTTTATCCCCGAATGCAATAAATAAATGCGCGTTGTGAAAGATCCACGTGACAGCAGTAGCACAGTATATCTGGCACCCTGTGTTCTCGTGAGGTAAGGTAATGGGAATTTATCAGCCCTGTGACAGACCCAAATGTACTGTTACACCGGATGAACTGCTGCTGAGTTGTAAACGACATGTCACTCGTGCCCTAATATAAAAGTTGTAAAATGGTGTTTTCACAGTCCCACGAATTGTCACAAGACTGATGAGGGAGAATCGACGCATAGCGGTAAAGGACACATTGTTCTCCACTTCATGGTAAGTGCCACAACGCCGTGCCATGCCCCTCTCAACTTGCGCGAGTGATCATGAAGAAGTTAATGCTTCGCCTTTCAAAGTTTCATGTTTAACTTTCAAGGTTTTACACTCTCTCTGATCATGGAGGGGTGCTCTGATTATCAACGTTGGTTAGGCCATGAGAATAGACGTTGTAGATTTGTGTCCTGACAGTTTCAAACACACGTGAGACATTCTTTCATTTCTCATTTGATTTCAACCTCCAAGTAGGCCTAGTGCTCCTTTTCAAGGCCTACAGTCATTTGCAAAAGTTTAGGACCACCCATACAAAATGCATTAATCTGAACATGGAGGTAGAATCACATTCTACCTCCATGATCTGAAGAAAAACCAAACTTAAACCAATCAATCATGGCAACTTATGTTTATTTTCAATGTGTAACCTTAGTCTACATTCCATGATTTGAAATGTGAACAGTCTAATTCTTTATTTCTGTGACAGAAAAAGTACCAATAAAATAATTTCCAGGAGGTCTTAAATTTTTGCAAATGACTATAGGCCTACTGCCTAACTACAACCAAAAGCCTTGCTGAGGGATGAGCACGGGATGGGCTACTCCCAGAATTGTGAAGCACACATACCGTGACACATATCTGTTGGACGGAAGGTTTCCGTCCAGGCCCAGTCCTCCGAACATATTACGGTTGGTGACCAGTACAATAATGTAACCCCCTTGCCATGGGTGCGATCTTGTCGCACAACATTTGTTGCCCATGAAGGAATGTGCACACAGCCCATGGAGTCGAGGTTGCCAATGATGTGATGTATCATATGTCTTTGGACTGGTCACCGTCTCGATTATATACGTTTGGAGGACTGGGACAGGAGAGGAACCAGTCTTCCGTGGCAAAGGACATGCGCCACAGTATGCAGCACAAATGTGTGGATCGTTTGTTGAAGAGAGTGAAGAAGGTAAGAAAAAGGTCCGAATTTTGCCATAAAATGCTTGTAGACAGTCCAAAACCCATCGTGGCTGCGTGTTAATGAGATACTATTTAGCGTGGATGGTTTTGGGGGGGAAGATTTGACTGAGGAAATGCAGTTTTAGGCAGAATAAACACACACATTCAGAATCGCGTAGCGTTTTTAAAGCAATGAAAATTTGGATTTTTTAAGGACATGGAGTGTGCCTCACAATTCTGGGAGTAGGGACGAGCTACATTGTAGGCCTTTCATCAGTTCATGGATCAGGTCAAATAGGGATCGTCACAACAAAAAAGACCCAGAGTATAAAACGTACATAATAAACGGGCAAGCTGATCCGACGCATGTGGGTCGAGAATAAACGTAGTTCAAACAGACATCCGACACGTCTGGACATACCAAAGCCATCTAAACTGAGCCGAGTCATGTCAGTATAGGTGAAATGCATGGTGTTTTATAAAGCTGATGTCGATACAAGATTCAGAACTCTGTTTTTTGTGATTTTGTGTCTTTTTCTTGAAAATAATAAAATTTTTGTAGATCATGATTTTCGGGGGAACTAGTGGCGTTCAGACATGGGGCAGTGGACACAAATCTGCAACCTCTATTCCCATGGCCTTAAATCCATGTTAATTGTTCGGCCTGTATCTGCTTATCCTACCACAACTAGGCCTACATGTACAATCTGTAGGCCCACAATATAAACCTGTGATGGTGCTAAACTGCCATGACTACCGAAAATAAGCCAAACTGAGCTCTAACATCTTTAAAACCACTTGCTGTGGGGGACCCGTTTTTGAGCATCTAGGCTTTACACACGGAGCCGGGAACCCCAAATCGGACAGAGGGAACTGGGCCTTGTAACAAAAGACCGTACTCGGAACAAAAGACCAGGCTGTTGGGCATTACCGACATTTTTTCACTCTTACTAGTGGAGATAATCCAGCCTTGTTTTGAAACAGTATACCACGGTTTGGGGCATTTGGAGTGAGTGGACTACCACCGGGAACAAAAGTGCTCCACCACCGCAGTGATGAGCCACACAGCACTGCTGCACACTAATCTGGCGCCTGTTGAAAAGAGGTCAGCAGCGCACTGTGCCAGGTTTGTGAGCAAAAGAAAGCTACATAACACCTCACAATTTGGGCTCTTTTTTACAAGGCTGCAGGCCTTGCTGAAATACTCAGGTGTCAATAGATTTTGTCTGTCAGACTAGAGTGGCCACCAGACAGTAATTTCTGTGAGTGTAAATGTCCATTAATTGAAATTATGACTTTTTGAAGAATTTTAAAAACTGAAAATCTTGAAAATCTCCCGTATGTGTGCACTGCATTTTTAAAAGCACCTGGCAGGAAGTGGTTAACCGCACGAATGACTGTTTGGTTTGGTGGCTAAGCTGACAGGCAACTTTCATTGACTCCTATCCTGAGTATTTCAGCCAGGCCTGCCGCCCTGTAAAGAGAGCCCAGAATTGTGAGGTGTTGTGTAGTTTCCTTTGTCCCCAGTGAATGCGATTGGCATCTTTTCAAACGTGGCTGGATTAGCATGCAGCGGTGCTGTGTCGCTCATCAACAGGGCCCTGGAGCACCTTTGTCCACGGTACTAATCCGCGGGCGCGCTGTTCCCAAAACAGTGGTATACTGTTTGAAAACAGTGACGGATTACATGTACCTTCGAAAAATGCAAGCCAAAAAATGATGGCAATTCCCAGCAGCAGGTCTTTTACTCCGAGTACAATCTTTTGTTATGCGGACCAGCTCTTTTGTCCCATTTTGGGCACCCCGGCCCTGCATACAAACCCATGGTACTCGAAACGGGGCTCCCGGCAGCAAGTGGTTAAGGCCTAACTTTAACTACTTCAGTTTGAGACTTGTGGAATCAAAGCAAGAAAGGACAAGTGATAACTCATTTCCTTTATGTATTTACCTATAGGTTGCTCCATGGCATTTGCTTAACTTACATGTACATGTACTTCATTCCCGCCATGCCAGAAGGCTAATCTACTAGTACATGTACAATTCCTGATTTTAGGATTTGATTTTAACAATGATTTGTCGATAGATAGCCTGTCCCTGGTCAAGGCATTTATCACTAGCCATCTGTAACTTGTGACAGGCAAGGCCAGCAGGTGACCCTCTTGTGTGTGTGGGGAAATGACCTGCTACATGTAGATAACAAGCTGTATACAAAAAGTACCCACAGTCCACTTGCAGTGACAAAATTAAGGGAGAACAGTGACCACGTGTGGCCTTTGTGACCCCCGGGGGGGGGGAGGTGAACATGTAGGGATATACATGTACTCGAATCCCCAGGTGTAGTAGTAGAGTCCATCACAAGTCAAATCATAAGTCTTTTCACGAGACCAGGCATAAGTAACCGGATGAACAATGGCAAAGGAAGGCTTTTGTTGGAGTTCATTTGAATAGCTTGTGCCTCAGCTCAAGACTGAATGACCTGTGATGGACTTGTGATAGTCTTGCAGGGACTTACATGTACATGTATACATGTACATTGTACACGTACATGCATGTACATACTTGTGATATATTTGACTACAGTACATGTATGTACCCCTCCCCGCCACCTTTTTACTAAGACGGGATGAGCAAAAGACCTAACGTGAACATGATAATGTCACACTTTGTTTATGTGTGCGCTTTCCTATGGCGGTGGGGTAGAGCACGTTTCATGGAGCTCCCACTGGAAAGTGCACATGAAAACAAAGCACGACATCGGACGCCATACATGTAGTTTTACATGTACGTGTAGGCACATGTACAAATGCTTTAAATATGGCCTTTGTAAGGTTAAAGGTTGTCATGTACTGGTACAGTACTTGTACTTGGTATCTGTATTATGAATAGTGCCCTCAGTGTCATAAGGTGTCCAGCAATCCTACCCCCTCCCCTTTTGGAATTCCATGGCTGGGCAATAGTTTTTGTTTTACTGGTAAGTCATCTCCCATCTCCCCTAGTTTCTGGTACAGATTTACATGTGCAAAGACCGCTAAATCTGCACATCCACACAAACACAAGGGTTTGGGGTTGGAGCTCATTATGATAATAACCTTAGCTGACCCTCAAAAACTGTTTTCACTGGTTGCTAGGAAAACTGCTGCATGCACTGACATGGGTCATGTTGACACGTGCAGAAGCCACTGAAGAACTTAAGTAATCAGTGTGGACTCAGCGGAGTTTGTGAAAGTGATTCAGTGATAGGACTGTTGATTCAAATGAAATTTTGCTTGTAAATTTAATTGTTGCGTTACTGTTTGAATTCCGTTTTCATTAACCCAGAATGATCATGTGATTGGCCTGTAAAAACACTTTACCCTCAGTCCTTTCACATCGCATCCAGCTGTGACATTAGAAAGTGTATCAGTTCCACAAACCTACCGGTAGATTGTTCATCAAGGGGAAGGCTCAATGTACATGTATGTTTACTGTAGTCTCAAGACTTACATGTACACACATGTACATGTTTGTACCTGTGACGTCATTGTGATAACAACGCTGAAAAAACTAGCCTAATGACACAGCTAGTCATTTCCCCATGCGTCACACTGAAAAGTGGTATTCCATTTCTTTCCCCCAAAGTTCAAGTTTTCACAGATAGTCATGCAAAAATGTGTGTTTAGAATGTACCACATCGGCACAGCAGGTTAGTTCAATGATTAAAATTTTTGAAAACAACTTTTTCACTTGGTAAGTTGGCCGTACATGTATACATGTACTGTGCCGGTAACGGCGGTATGTACAGCACGTGACCATCAAACCAATATGGTACATCCCCCATCCTATTCCATATGTCTGCATATTTTAAAACCCCTTTAGACTGTTTGCTGTGATAAAAACAAAGCACCTCATTAATAAGAATCCTCTCCCCAGACCATTTTTAGGAGAATTTGTTAATTTAAACAAATGTGTGCTTGACTGGTTTCCTCATTCCGTCCCCCGAAAAGAACACTTGCACTGGTACCCATACATGTACATGTATATGTTTGCCAAAGCTCACTTGGTGAACTGTATGAAGTGTTAACTATGTGCTAGGCATAAAAGCTGTTCCGGCTGAAACTGGTACCTGTGGGTAACCCCCGTACCTGCTGTACTTCAGGAGTGCAATTGGCGCGCAGATGTGATCCTATTTTGATCAGTCAATATCAAGGACCTGGAGTCACGTGCAGGGTCAAATTCTTGGAATTCAAAGACACCCGTGAACAGGTTGTAAAATGCTCAATGCCTGACTGTGATTTCACCATTCTTCATCCGTCGCAGGTCGAGAGGACCACATGCGAAGCAGCTGCTGGCACCGTACTTTAGGCTGCTTTGTGGCTTTATAGTTCTAGATCCACACCTCTACATGTACATAACAACATTTTCTGCATCTCTGGAGGCATGTTTCCATCGATACAGAGGGTACATGTACATGTTCAGTCTGTAGGTACAGTTTTGATGATGAACTAAGTGTCAAAACAAATACCAGCAATATTAAAAATGCTTTACATCATACGGTTTGTCATCAATAAGCACTACTGTTTGACTGTATGTAGTGTAGTTGGTTGCTCAGTGCAAGCATGCTGGTATTTTAAGAGTGTGTGTGTACATGTACATGTATAAACGAATACATGTAGATCTCATTTAGTCAAAATTTTGAGTAATTGACATTTTTTGGTCTTTGTATTTAATGTTGATATCTATACATGTACCGATAATTGTATCTTGTTGCAAGTGATTTCCAAAATTAGGCTAGTATGTCACCTTTTTCACTGTAAAGATTTCTTCAGTACTGTTTTCTCTTTTTTTTTTGATTGACAGAAATCACGCTTCACGCTTCCACAGAAACAACAGACGCTCTGCTGAAACCCTCGTCTAGGCAGCTGGCGCTTTTCAAGAATGGCGGAGGCCAACAAATCTCCGGTCAAGGACCAAGGAAGGAGAAAGACCATCACAGCACCAGATGCTCCGTTCCTTCTCAGCCTGCCTCGCCGGTTTGCCTACGGTGTAGGCCATGTCCTCAACGATCTGTGTGCCTCCATGTGGTTTAGTTACTTGCTTATCTTCTACCATAAAGTTTTAGCATTCGGGTAAGTACTGTACATGTGTGAGAGACGTTGTCCCAGGTTAAAGCTGTCTTTTGTCATTGGACATCGGGGTCCCTGGCTTCCCCAAGTACTTTGTAAAACGAGCATGGACATACATGTACATGAACCTTTAAGTTCTCCCACAGGCTGTCATTTAACTAATAGTTTGAAATTCTTCCACTCAACTGCACTAGGGCTGTGCCGAATATCTGAATATTTGATCGATTGTCGAATATTTGAATATTATTTTTTCAATTTTGAATATTTGAATGCAAAATTATGAAAAGGAAGGGAAAAATGTTCTTTTGTTGTAAATGAGAAACATTGCGCTATGGAGGCTTGTTTCAAGCAGATTCAAATGAAAAGTGTCAGAAATCTTGCAACGATTTACACATTTTAAAAGGAATAGAAATTTTCAATAGGGCAAGAAGCCTTTTTCATCTCTTAAATCTTGCTAAATTGTGGCTGGAGATACTCCTAGATGTGGGAAGCTATCCTATTGATCATAATGTACAATTTTGTATGTCATTGCAACTGATTTTGTATGTGTCATTTGTTCATCAACAATCTGCTGGTCAGTTCGACCGAATATTCGGATATTCAATCAAATTGAAGGTAAAATATTTGAATAGTGAATTATTCGAATCGACTCGGCCCTAAACTGCCGTAGATTTACCAGAAAACAGTCTGTAGAAGCACGGTTTGTACATGTAAATCTAAGGGAGGCTTGCAGTGTAGGGGATCACTGATATGACTTGTTGCTTTATGTTACAATTATTGGTGAAAGCCCACAATTTAAAACCATTGCAGCATTGCTAGGCCAAAGCAACCAGGGTTGTGTAACTTCCGAGAGCATAGGTGTACATGTACTGTAATTATGCAAGGCTCAGAAGCACCCGTATTGGCAGGCCAAAGTGGCATGTCGTGAGCACTTACTGTGAGTGTGACTGGTTCACAGCCGACTAAATCTGCTGTGCTGGATTCACCAGTATTTTCTGCATGGCTGTGTTTCAGGAAACTGGGCTCCGGTTACACAAGTGGACTAAAAAACCACAGCGAAAATGTGAGCTGCAGATTGTAAAAGTTTCAGTTGGATCATTCATGGGCTCGCCCTGCATGCATTACTGCACATCATAGTTTTTACATGTACCAGTATGTTATCGTTTTACTGTAGCTCTTCCAAAATGTTTGAAATCCCCAAAGAGGTGTGGAGGGTGTTGCAGGATAAAGGAAGGTAGAACTGAGCCTCTGTTAAGGTACTTGAGACTTAAGAGAGCTTCTTGAAAAGTAATTATTTACCTGCACAGCTTGACACATATCAGTACTTGTTTCACATATGCGGTGTGGACATGCCTTTTTTCTCCTGTGATTATGACTTGGGAAAATGCTCCTTTTTTCCGGCGAGGATAACTCCTTCTGGAGCTGGATTTTTGATGATGATTTCCTGGACTGTTCCTCTGTATTTTGCCACTGACAACCTTGACCCGAAAATGCCTTTGAAGTTGTTTTTCAGAGAGGGGAAAAATTTGTGTGGATGCGTGCAAGTCCACAGTGCGCCACAGTCTACATTATTTGGACTTCTTTTGTACGGAGGTCCACACTGTGTATGCTACATGTACACCTGCACATCCTTGTAACACAATTTGCTACTATAATCAGCATTAAGTGGAAAAGTCTAAAGTGTTTATTGGTAGTAAAGGGAAAACAAGAAGTGAACAGATCAAGAGAATAACTTGAATGAGTCAATCCGATTGTAAACAGTTTTTGAAACTTTGCTCTTTCAGCTATGTAGGCAATCTAAAAAACATTGTTTTTCTTTGGACACTGAACCCACACAGAATCGAAGTTCAACCCCCGAAAAGTCACGTCGCAGGAAAAAGAATGCATGCACCTGACTTCCGTTTACCCTGGGGGCACTTAATCCCCTACTTAAGAAATGTAACCATACCTAAATACTGGCTTGGATCACATACATGTGCTAATGAAACACGATCTAAAATTGCAGAATCGCAGAATTTGAGGATCTGCCCCCCCCCCAAAAAAACACAAAGTGTTTGTTTGGGTGCGGACATCTCAAACATGTACCTGTATACATGTTTGTAGAGCCTTCACTTTTTAAAATGTTTTTCATTTTTTTAAGTTGAAGAAACATTCCACTAGTGTCACTTCCTTACTTGAAAAAGTCTAGAATAGAAAAAGATGTATGTACATGTACTTTAGATTCACCAAAGACAAGAATGGTGACACTGTCACATTAATGTACATCCGCCCTTTACACAATTTCAGTTTACCCACAGATGTGTACATGTCCTTTGTCAGTCATAAAAACTGTTTCCAAACTTTCCCAGGTCTCTGATAATGTTGATTTATGCCACACTGGATTTTTCTATTGATGATGACAGAACCCATGAGATGACCTTGTGTATTGCCCCTTGAGATTGTTCTGCCATATGTGCACCATAAATATGCAATGTTCATGATATCATGTGGTTTAAATTCTTCCATTGAAAATACCACATTTACATGTAAAAGAAGGTAACGAAATGGCACTAATTCACAATATAATTCTGTGCGGGAAAAAAGGAAAAATAGGAACACTTGTGTAGCTACTGTATAGTAACTGCATTGGGCTTTACACATGTACATGTATACTGTAAGGCAGGTGTTATGAAAGCAAGGTGAGCTACATGTACAAGTACACCTACCTGTACATGTACATGGACCAAAGATTTACATGTACTTGTGTTGACACCCGATACCCTTAGGATGTTATCAAAGGATGGAGGAAATGGGATACTAGAGGAGGTTACATCAACTTAATTACATGCACATATATCATGTTATAACGCTCATGTCTGTATTAAATATTATGTGAAATGAAACGCTGACAGTAGTAAAGCTTTTTCTCTCTGAATTCATGAAACTATCAAAGAAGGGCACATGGGTAAGTCATGCTTGAAAAAGCAAGGTATAGTATAAACAGTGAGGAATTCTGCTCAATTGCAGTGTCTTTTAGTCTTTAAGTACTTAAAGGGTAGCTGCAATCAACTTTTTGGATTACAAACCTGTGAAATGCACCTTTGTGCCTCAGTAAACCTTATTTTCAACATTGGTTTCACTATTTCAAAGGGTATTTTAATGCCTTTTTGGTTTTATGCCAGTGAGTATTTCCATATTCATGAGCAAAACTGTGATGAATTTCGTCCCAATAAGAACCTCAATATTACCTTGGTTTGTACACAAGAAAGTCCTGTGTTTTTGCAGATTTTCCTGGGCTTAGTTTTATCTTCTCTACTGATTCATTATTTATGTGCATAGCAATGAGAAACCATCAATCCCTCTCTCAGAAATATAATAAATTCATTTAGTAAATTCTTGGGTTCACAAGTGGAACAGAAATACATGTAATGTAGTGCCGCACCTATGCACTGAGCCATGTCTTCCCCAGATGACTTCACCACAACAGTGCCCTCCCTTGTCCGGGAAAACATGAATAATTTTGATTGTTTAAAAACGTGCACTTTCGATGCATTTAACCAAAGAGGAGTGTTAAAAGAGTTTTCATACGTCAAAGAAGAGTACAGAGATGCAGAAAAATTGTCTCGAAGAAAAGTTAATTGCAGCTGCACTTTAAGCAAACTTAAATGTCTTTGGCTTTGACCATGGTGACCACTGGATTCAACAGATGTCGCATTTTGGACAGTACTGGTAGTTCAGATACTGTTTACGAATCGGAAGCTAAATGATCCTTGGGAAAAATGCAAAGTGGAAGGGGTCAGGTACTAGTACCAGGGAAGCAGTGTTAACACCCCAGGAAAACATTTGCTGTATGATAACGAGTCATGCCACAAGTTTGTGTTTTGTTCTTTTTTTGGGGGGGGGAGAGGGGCATGTTGTAGTTTTAAGTGTTTTCTTATCATAATGCCTTTTCCCCAAATTTGGATACGCTTCTTTTTGAGCCTTATTTTCACTGTGGCGAACTCTAATGGCCATCGTTTATGTTTACTGACTATTCAAGTAGAGAGGGTGTACTGTACAGGTGTGTGAGCAGTTACGTTTATGAGAATGGAAAGACTGTATTTTTTCTATAAAATTTATGAACACTTGCAGTTTCTGAGTCACCATACTTATGCTTCTGCATTACATGTACTGGTACATGTATGTATATATTGGTTTTGCCCCTAGAAATACCATTTTGAAATATTGTGGTTTTTAAATTAAAAAACAAAAGCCACGTGTTACAGATTATTCTGAAATGTCATTGTTATTGTGGTTTGGGTTTTTGCCAGATTCCTACCTACATGTACATGTACAGCCTGTTGATATTCAATAGGTCACTCCAGATCTTGCCCATGTGACCTTGTTGCATAGCGATTGATTCCAAAGTATCTGGAACAGAGCCAGTCAATCAATCGCAGACCTCCAGTGATCTTAGGGAAACCTTGTAAGAATGATTAATATTTTAACAGTTGAATTGCTGTGACTGTGTAGCCTGGTACATGTGTAACTATAATATATGGTTTGCACGGCTGCCATTGTGCAGTCCAGCGCTTTTGTTCCACAGGATATGCACAAAGGAAGTGTCCCTGTGGAACAAAGAAGAGCCCTGAAAGATGGCTTCCATGCAAAGTCTCTATATATACCTGTACATACTTGTACTGGCCCTTTGTTTACATTTATGTACATGTAAGGAGAGTAAACAAATGGTTCAGGAAGTTGGAATAATTCTGCTGGGACTGTGAAGTGGTTTGCTTAAAGTCTTGTGTACACACAGCCTGGTCTTAACTTTCATTGTGCTTCAGAAACATGCATATTGGACAATGACCTGTCCACCAGTACCAAGATGTCAAAAGACAGCTGTCTGAGAATGGTTGTACATGTACCAGGCTGTGCATTTCACAGGTGTCACCTCTCCAATGTTGAGTGCAACCACCCCCTGGAGACTTTGTTTTGTTCAGTTGTCATGAATATTCAAACTTTTAATCCTTCAATCAAACAGTCCTCATGCTGTATGTTACTGTTTACTTTTGTTAACACATACATGTAGGCCTGAATGAGTTCCAATGCTTTCTGGTCAGGCATTCCTTAAAAAAAGACACTGTGGGGGAGGGGGAAATTGGCTGCATAGTTAGCAAAACAGATTGATGGTTAATTAAAAGGAATTCAGGATTGCAGATGTGCTAAAATGAAATGTCAACATGTGAAATTCAGTGCACTCTCAGGAAGTTGTACGCAGATTTTCTTTTATGAAAGAGTTGCACCTTCATGTAAGTAGGATTATCATTCAGTTAATGGAAACAGGTTCATACTGCCGGTATTTCACACAAAACAAATTTATGATTCTTGTACTAATTTATGTCCACATTTTCCAGAATTGTCCTAAAAAACCCGTAGTAATAAATTCGGGAAGGCTTTTGGCATCCATATTTGTGTCCGCACTGGACGTCCCAAGTTGACCCAAAATAGTCCAGTGCAGACAGGGCTTACACCCATATGGTTTTTAGAGGATTTGTCAGGATTGAGGAAGATTTCTGAGTGGAGTGAATATTATACTGTGTACTTTGCATAGAGCTACACGTCCATGAAGAAGTTCTTTCAAACTTGGGTTGTGACTTCATGTTCCATCCTGCAGAAGAATTGTTTTTCAAGAATTCATGTTCTCTTTAGGGCTACATGTACAGCGGGTTGAAAGAAAGTGAAACCGGAACAATCTGTTGTCTGTGGTATACTTTTACGGGGAGAAATTGTTTTCTGGCAAAGCATCGGCCGATTGGAAACAGTAAAATGACAGGTGGAAATCAGGCATATCAATTCCCTCTATTTCATTTTAACACACCGGCCATCTATTTCACAGACATCATAAGCGGTAAAGCAGTAACAGCCAAAGCACCTGTCACACTAGAACTTGAAGGAAAAGTTACAGTACATACCCAGTACAATGTAACAACAACTTTCTTTAGCACATCTGATTTACATGTATGTAATGAAATACATGCAGTGCTTATAAGTATGTTTTTCTTAGTTGTGCAAATGCACGTGTACCGCAAACTTCTGTGTTAACTATTGTAATTAGGTAGTGATGTGAATTATATGAAATAGGTCGCTGGTATAATTTTGTTGGTAGAATATCTTCAAGTTCACTTCACTGAAGGTTGCCCTTTTCTTTGAGAACATAATGTACGCATCTGGTGCCTGTATGTACAGTGTGAGTATTGTAGTGATACATGTACATACAATGTACATGAATATAGATGGATCCCAATACGACACTTTTAGCGTCGATCTGCGCACTTCCGTGTTTGAAAACGAGGCTGTATGTGTCAGCTTCAATTCTTAGTATGATCAGACGACTGAAATTAAGGAGTCAAGACACAAAATACATAAAGGTATGTTAAATTCAGACTTTTCAGGCCGCACATTTTTGAGGAAGAGTCTTTCAGGATGACTTGACACGTAAAATTAAAAGAAAAACTAACGACAATTGACCGCGAACTAACGTACCATGCGATGGTCGTGTATCTTATGCAGTGGGCGTGGTTTAAACTGAAGTGGCGTCACACTTACGAACGGATACTCCATGTCCTGTGTGGACTCCGCAGGCGGGCGCGACCAAGTTAAACACAGAGAGCCTTGGTTTTGATGCAGATATGCGCAGACAGTGCTAATGTGAAATGCCTCTATTGTATACAGATATCTAGCTGAGCAGAGCAGGATTCAAGAAAGCATTTAATTACCCTAATAGAACAGGTCTCATACAGTACATGCAAATTCCAGTTAATTTTCTTTTCTTTTCCCTTTTTCAAAGTAATGTGAATGCTGGTTACATGTTGCTGATTGGGCAGGTGAGCGATGCCCTGTGCACGCCTCTCATCGGCTACGAGTCTGACAGATCCCTTGGCTGCCGCTACGGCAAGCGAAAAACCTGGCACCTGTTGGGTAAGTTTTTGGCACATACCAGTAGAGGAAGCCGTGGCCTACATGTACATACCTGTGGTCCTTTACACTTGCAGTGGAATTACCATAGCAGGGAATTGTACATAACCGAATGCATCAGAGTTGATGTAAACATCTATGCCTGAAATATGGTGCCTTGTGGAGACCTAGGATGATTGGTTGTTAAGGTCTCCACAGGGAAATTCTAAAGGTGTACAAGGTCTCCACAAGAATTTCAAATGGGAGGAATTTTTAATTTGTAATTACCTGTATCTCTAGCAAATTTAAGTTCATGTATAAGGGACATTCGGATAAAAATTTAACCCAGGAAAGTAAATGGTTTGGGAAGAGTTTGAAAGCAGTGTCTCACACCCGAAGTGTTTCAGTACACAAGAGCAAAGCATTGTCCCCAAAAAATTCCAGAATGGTATGTACATGGGTGTACTGTCCATGGGTGTGTGTGCACACGCAAATATACATCCACCGTATGGTCCTTTGGGAAGGAGTTTGAAGCTTACGTGTACACATACGTTCACTTTCATAAAAATGGAAGAAGGCCAACGAGCCTGTTAAGTATTCCAACAGGGCATGCCCAATGCAAGGCTATTCAGGATCAGCTACACACATACGAGATTGTCTGTCCTATCAGTGCAGCCATATGCTTGTTCATGCCCTGCTTTGTTCCCGAACGACCTTGATATTTTGAAATACCGAAATGGCTCTTTGGCCATCTTCCTTTTCTTGTTTGAAAGGGGCCAGAGTAAAGAGTGTGTTTTGTACACTTGTGAAAAGGATGACAAAAATGGATGACCCCCTTAGTTTAATGGGGCGAACAAAATGCTTGTTAGTTTATGCTTTTCATTTTTGTGATCTGAAGGGGGAAAAAAGTGAAAAAAGGCTACAGGTAGGCTAGTATAAACTGAGACAGGAATGGATTGATTTCAAATCCCATGCAATTTTCTCACAAATAGAATTTTTTTATGATATCACATTGCGGATGGTAACAAATTCTTCCTGACCACGTTTATTAAAAGTATATTTTCATTGTAGTAGCTACTGAGTAAGGACATTTCACAAAAGTGCATCTCCAAGTGTCTGCAACGCGTTGGCCAATCATAATGCGCGAAATCTGTCGACCCAGTGCGCGTTCGAAAAGGGTCAACATATTTTGCGTAGGGTTGACTGGCCAACATGTTGCAAGCTCTTGGAGGTGGACTGTTGTCAATCGCCCACATTTGATGCACTTGTCAAGACTCAAAGATTACTAATTCTCTAAGTGTGTGTTTCTTTTTATTTATGTGTCCGTGGGGATCTACATCTGAACTAACAGGCACCATCTGCGTCATGAGCACGTTTATCTTCATCTTCAGCCCGACCCTGGGCCCCACCGACACCAGTGAGTGGGCCAAGGTGATCTATTTCACTCCGTTCATCGTCATCTTCCAGTTTGGCTGGGCTTCCACGCAGATCTCTCACCTGTCCCTTATCCCTGAACTGACCAATGTGGCCACCGAGAGGGTGGCCCTCAATGCGATTAGGTAAGTTCCCCCATCAAACAACAAAAGCATAAAAGAAAATCTAAACCACAACAAAAGAGAACACTTAAACTTACATGTAAGCAAACCCCTTAACCAAAACTATAAACAAACAAACACAATATCAGGGCTGTTTACAGAGAGAGTTGTGACAGGAGTGTCTCGACTGTTGAAACCAAAATGATGGATAACGCTTCAGTGCACACAAAAAAAATAGACATTTCAACTGTCCAATGTTTCATTATGTATTAGTAGTTACAAGATTTTGCCAGGGATGATTCTCCATGCTGTGACAGGAAAAATATGCTGAGCCCGGCTTTGTAATCAACAAAATGGTGGCCACGGAGAGGACATAAATACTGTCTGTGAAATATAAAATGAACCTGCAATATACAGTTGACTCTCGTTATTACGAAATCGATTGTAAAGAAATTCCGGTTACAACAACACATCTGTGGTTCCGGTGAAAATGGGCACATTTCTATGGGGAGCAAATCTGTTACAGCAAAATCACATTGTACAAAATCCTGGTTACAACGAAAGGTTTTTGTGACTCTGTTGCCTGAAAAACCATTTTGGATGACCCATTTATAACAAGTGTTATGCGCAATGCAATTGAAGCAATGCCGCATTGGTTCCTGCCACGCCGAATCATTGCCAAAGAAGGCATGATAGAAATGCAGTAACCAGTCTACCGGTATGTACCTCTTCTAGCCAAAAAAGTATTGTATGTTGCATTACATTGCTCTAAAATAAAAAAAAGAAATTGCCGTTTCGAATTTCTGCAAGTTCATTCACAGAAATTGATCTCATGTCGATGTTTGTATTTTCTGTGTTCATGAATTTAATTTGAGGTTGTACTGCTCGTACTTGAAGCGAGTGTGTTTCCACAAAAGCCAGAGCTGAGGTTTATCGCCCACCCCTCTAGATGCATTACTCACGCTTATAACGCGATATACATGTACTGACGTCGTTCACAAGTTTCCTGTTGTCGTGACTGGGGTAGTGCACGATTGAAAAATCAATTATTTTTTTACACTGATTATACCAACACCAAAACAAAACATGCCTTCCCAATTCTGATAAAAATTCTCCCTTCTCAAGATCCCAACTAATCGCCCAACACTGAATTATTCATGTTGCTCCTAAAGAACAAGCTCGCCCACCAATGAGATTGTGTGTTTACATGACATACATTTTGTGAGACGTACATGTAGCTATCCAATCACAATATCTCCTCGTAACATCCTATTTCTTCAGCGACCGTCTCGCGCGTGGGCGACCGCACCGTGGTGGGCAAGTGAACTCAGACTATCGATCAATCGTGGTCATGCAGCTAGTGCCGAACATCAAAAGACAGATGGAAAATTAAATAAATATGTCTCTGCATGACGCAATCTATGTTGGGAAGACTACTTACACGGATGGGGGCTCCAGTTGATGAGTCTACATGTACATGCCGTTAAGTTAACTTCGTCCTCATCCATGGCCATCGAAAGTTTTAGAAAAAATCCCTGGATCGATGCTTTTACATGTATTTGCCTTTTATCTCACATGTACATTAAACATGACAATGAAGTTTATTACTCTGTACACATCACGGTTTATTTGATTAATCATAACCAAAAGATCTTTTGGACATCATTAACATCAACCACGTTCACAGGTATGCATGTACAGTGCATATGTACATTGCACATGGCATTGTACACAATTTGACCTATTCATGCAATACATGTACACCAAAGCCTTTGCTCTGCGTTACGCTTGCAACAAATTTCAGATAAAATGAACGTCTCCACTTGGTACCGCAGATCTCATAATAATGAGAGTCAACTGTCTAAATGAACACTAAGCTTCAAAGATGAGAAGAGCCTGTTTTGTCTCTTTTCTATCCAGCCATCTGCAGTTAGCGCAAGTCAGAGTGCAAAGTAAAAGTTGGTGATAGGTGTTTCTGGAACATGCCCAAGAATGTCACTGCAATGATGTTGAATGTTCATTCAACCATTTGTTTAAGCTTGTGTGGAACTATTCCTGTGAATACTCGTTTCTGAAACATTTCAAAGCATGAAATGATCAAAATGCAATTGCCAACAAGGATGTGGCTCACCAATAGCAAGTACATAACAACAATGTGAGACATCATGCATACATTATAGGGCTGCAACATTAGAGCTTACTAGGTGTTACATGTACTTTGCCAAACGATGAATTATATTCAGTTTGCCTTTATCATTTAGATCTTTGAATATATTTTGTCCTCAGATATTCATTTACTGTGTTTGCCAACATCTTTGTTTATGGCATTTGCTGGGTGCTTTTAAACTCAACGGATTCGTCAGTCCTGTCGTCAGCTGATGTTCCCCAGTTCAGGGTTAGTAAGCCGCTGGAAGTAGTTGCAAAACTCTTCACCCTATCTTGCCATTCAAATCATCTCATGTGAAGCTATGAGGTTAGAAAATTAAGTTCCTCATTCATCCTGTTGATGTTATTTCAAATGGGGGTTTCAAGAAGGGTAATGAACATAATGCCACAGCATATGATCTTCAACTAAGCTGGAATTCTTAATCAATGTGGAATCTTGCACATGGGTGCCAAGAACAAACATTGCTTTTTGATAGAGCATAAAGTCTAGCCTCTTGTACAAGCCCTGAGGAAACCCTATGTTTTGTGGAAAGATGTCGACCAATTCTCAATACTAATTTGCTCTTCTCCCATTCCAGTACCTTGCCGTAATTGTGGTCGGGACAGGGGCTGTCTTCTCCCTGATTTTTCACTGCGGTACCCAAGAGCCGAAGGAGTCGCGCACATCAACAATGCCCTGCTGCATCGTCAACAAGATGAAGTTTGGCCAGAACCAGGAGCAGTGCAATATGTTGTGGAAGGACTGGCTATTTGAATCCCAGTTCTATCAGGTCTGTTGGCAAATATTTGTGTTGTAACCAAGTCAATTTTATCCACATCTAGTCAAAAGTCCATTTGTTCGTTGAGTCAAGTCAGGTCGCAGGGTCATTTTCCCAAGTCACAAGTTCAGTTTTCTCCTAGTCAAGTCACAAATCATTTTTTTCTCAATTCAAGTAAAGTCACAACTCAAGTTTTCCTGGGTCAAGTTAAATTGCAAGTCAGTTTTCCCAAATCAAGTCACAAGTCTTGTTTTTGTTAAGGCCTTTTCGGTGTCATAATGGTATTTGGTACAGGGAATATGGTACCTGCGCGCTTTTTTTTCTGAAATTCTTTACAAAATGTCAGTGGTGCATATTTTGCTGTATTTATTTCAACAAAAGTTGGTAATGCTATGTTGACTTTTGCCCACAAAATGTCGATGGTGCAGATTTGTATTTATTTCAACAAAAGTCGGTAAAGCAACAAGTCAAATCTGTCCAAGCCAGGTGCTACAATACTAGGGTAACATGAGTTTTACTTGAACTGCGTCCTTTGGTGGCTGTCCGTCACTAGTTCTCTTTGCTTAACAGTTTGCAGAAATTTCCTTCTCAAGGCATACCATAAACCCTCATCATCTTGAAGTAGCTGTGCTAACGGCAGGCTTTCTTCTGTTGTTTCTTGTCTTATATTGTTACCCCATTAGGTTGCGCTGATATACATGTCCAGTCGGCTGATGGTCAACATCTCCCAGGTGTACATTCCCATGTATGTGACGGAGACCCTCGGATTGAACAAGGTGAGAAAAACCCAAATTCCCAGGTCATTTCCAAGTTAAGTTTTTCATTTCAAGACAAATGGCTTTCATCGGCTGTTCTTAGGTAGGAATGTGTATCATACAGAGTCGTGTGTGAATTTGTTACATTTACTGTGGATTAGCATTTTAAGAATATTATACATGTAATTGTAATTTTTTTCCCCCCGGAATTTTCTTGCATGCGACCGTGTCCCTATGCAAGACGTATTCCATGCTGAAATGGCTTTTGTGGGAAGACCCATATTAAGCTGATGCCATTATTTTTTTACCCTCTCTTAGACCACGATCGCTCTCGTCCCACTCGTGATTTACGTCTCTGGTTTCACAGCATCATTTCTGGCTGGCTTGGTTAACAAATACTTGGGCAGAAAGGTGAGCGCTCGACACATGCTAACATTTCTTGTGAGATGCAAAGTCCTGGCGGCATGATGCATTTGTATCCAGAAGAATGGCCGTTACTTCCCAACTGTTGTCTGCTGTGATGTGGAATATGATATTTTGAACACCCTCAAAACATCATATCCCGCATCGCAGCAGTCAACTGTTTTTTTTTTTTCACATCTCTGTCGTGCTGGTCTTTTCACCTATTTCTCTGATTTAATCCCCCTGGTGTTTTAACCGTCAAAAACAGTCAAAAATGCCTTCCAATTGATTTCCCCAGTACACAGACACGTATGGGAAATTTGACTGATTTTGACTGATACGACAACTGTGTCAAGAATGCATCTTAGCATAGGAGGGTTAAGGAAAATCAAAGGCAGCGCAGAAATCGTTGAACATTGGTGGCCAGCAATCCCTGCATTATCTAGTACACGGCGGGGACGTGTGCCTACGTTTGTCCGATATCATACAACACCGGCTGATGGCTTGGCTTGAGAGCAAATTTCAGGTCTGATTACCATTGTCGTATTCTTGACAGCTGACGTACTTCATCAGCGTGCTGGTGTTCCTGGGCGGCTGTGGCTGGCTGTACGTCCCTGATATTGGCTTTCAGGTCTACGGTGCTGCCTGCCTGCTGGGGGCAGGGGGCTCCACGCTGCTGGTGACATCCTTAGCCCTGACGTCAGATCTCATCTCGCACAACACAGTGAGTACATTTTTGTAGGTGCATCCAGTGGCGTAAATCCCTGTCGCCAAGTTTGGGTTATTAAAGGGGATTGGGAAGACCTAAATCCTTAAATTCCCCAGCCATGGAAATTCTAAAGGGAAAATGGAGGGGATGGATACCGGGGGGGGGAGAAAATTTGAAAAATGGAAAAAGGAGAAAATGGAAAAGAACATGGGAGACGTGAATGAAAGTCACCAATATTCATCAGAATTGACCCTATGTCACAATTCATTTTTGTCATTTTTGTTGCCGGTGAGTTTCTTGCCCATCCCTAGGCCCTGCAAAAATTCTCTAAATAATTTGACTCGGCATTCAAACTCTTTTGGTTTGAAGTGAAGAAAGATGTTGTTTTGGAGTGTTAAAAAAAACCAAAAGAAGGTCGAGTGCTGTTTTGAAGAGCAGACATCCTGATCAGGACCAAAGAAATTTTGCTTAGAAACCAAAGGTACAGTGTACTGCAGTGTTCAGTCGTTTTTGTCTTTGTCAACTTTCCCAGGAATCAGGTGCCTTCGTGTACGGTGCCATGAGCTTCACCGACAAGCTGTCCAATGGCATAGCTGTCATTGTCATCCAGTATTTTCATCCCTGTGTGTGAGTATGTTCACCTGAAAAATGCATGGACCGAATAGCTCAGCCGAGGAAATCGCTTCAGCAGCCTGCGTCATGGAACCTTTCGCACCGCTTGCACAAAATTTTCACACTGTTTTTGCACACTTTTTTTTTCATTGTTTTCACAAATGTTTCACGCCCTGTTCACAAAAATTTGTACAGTTTTCGTATGATTTTCACACTGTCTTCCCACGTCGTTTGTCCCTTTCACATCTGATTTACTGCGAATTCACAGGGGGGTAAAGTTGTGGGCAAAATGCAAAATGCGAATGCGAATTCCTTTTGCATTTTTTCCCATTCCTTTTCACAACATTAACTTTTAAATGCAATGTACTGTATTGCAGGCTTTGTCAAGTTAGAGGAACGTGTTGAGAATAGCCTACTTTATTTATTTATTTATTTATTTATTTATTTATTTCTTATTTATTGTGGGTGTTCCATTCAGTGACAAACAAAATTACTGATTACCCAAGGATCCCAATTTACACACTACTAAAATAATACAATTAAAGTGTTAAAAAGACAATGTAAAAAGCTTTAAACATAATTTTAACGAACTATTAACAAAAGAGAAATTACACTGCTGAACCACATTATAGTACAGTACAATACAAAACATTTTTGTTGCTAATACTGATATCATCTGACTTCTTCAAGTTGCTTAAAGAAATGATTGAGCCTGGTTGAAATCAGAGATTTCAAACTTTGCAGTAGGTTTTTCCAAGCCTGGAAACCCCTGAAATCAAAAGTTATTTTCCCACTTCCTGTTCTGGAGTGTGGAAGAACCATGTTGCCAACAGTACCGTTCCTGGTTCCATGACAAAATCTTTCACTGAGTGAGACAGAAATATCTGCAAATAAGAATACCTGTAAACTGGAAAAAAAACCTGAACTTCCCTCCAAAGGCAAACAAAAACGCACATCAACTTATGGATGCCTTTAAAAGGGTTGACATAAACATGATAGGAAATCAGAGTACTGTTACTGACTTTGTTTCATTGGAAGCAGGTGGAATGGGTTGATAGCCCTGTCTTTTGTACATATTTCTCTTTGAGCAGAAACTGCTGTCCAGCTTGCAAGTCGTTCTACAAGAATGTCCAGGTGTTTGTCCCTGGTGGGGCAGCCGTGTTGGGGCTAGTTGTTCTTCTGACGTTGCTCCCTGTGACTGTAGGCACCAGAAAGAAACCACGTGAGTGTCTTGTGGTCTGAAACCCTTCTTCCGCAAAGAATTATTAGGCAGGGCTGTGTTCATCTATACATGAGAACAAGTGCACTTCACTGTGCATTGCTTACAAGTACATGTTTGCGCACAATTAATGTAGAGTTCACATTTCTAGTTTTCATTGGAATGTACAAAACTAACCACCCTCATCAAGTAAGTATTTGCAGAAGGAGATCAGAGGTCATTTTCTAGAGCCGCCAAGCATAACATTTTGCTAAGCACAGATTAGTACTTATTTAGCAGAAGCTGGTTACCAGGCATTATTTCAGGTATTGTCTTTTGATTTTCACCAGTTCTCACTTGGTTTCTGCTGAGCACATATTTTTGCTCGGCAGCCGTGTCCGCAAAGAGTCTCCACAAAATAGAAAGCAAACCGTGAATGCATCATGGTGATTTCTTGACAACTTGAGAGTCAGCCAAGGAGACCAATTTATCGGAGAAGATGCCATGGTAGAAATGGCGTCACATTCTTGAGCGCGTTCCTGAAATGGAGGGTTAAGTGTATGTTGATATGTCACAACATCCTGTTGGTTGAAGTAACATTGAATGCGTGCGTGTGACCGTAGTGAAAGCATAGCACCACGGCAGAAAGTACTTCTTGATCTGGTCCGCAAATTGTTTTTGAAACATTTCTGGCTATGCAACGCAAGAATTTCCATAGAGCTTTATATAATAACCAGAGCGCTGACCCATGTACAAAGTGATACCTGCTGGGCGCACCCATGTTTGTGTACAAACCTATGGAAACTTGAAATTTTGTGTCGGTTTTGTTCGGCTATTTACACATCTGTGTTTGTATTTTAAAACTATACGTCAACAAAGCCGATACACAAACAACTCGAAGGTGCAATCAGTAAAGGAGAATTTCATTTTGTTCTACGCCCCCAAAAAATGCACACGAGTGCACGTATGCATGTGCAGCTCATGAACTTTGCTGCGATGTTTTTTTAACCCAATAAGCACGATAGTTGCTGCTGCAGAGCCGTCAACACACTTAACACTGACTGAATTAAGGGAACGATTCTTTAACTTAGCTGAACTAATTCATCAAAAGACAGCCATCGAAAGACATGCATACGAAATTGGATGACCTTGCTTGGATGTTAGGGAAACATTTGTTTTAAAATAATCGGCTATGGATCAAAATAAGCATGTGCCGCTGTATGCGTCTTATTCAAAAGATGCGTTGACGTTTGCATATGTTGAACTTGCGCGTTACAGTACGGGTGAGAATACACTATTTGATTTTCAGTCTATCTGATTTTGAGTGTTTCACAAGCACGCAGATGGATTCAAAATGTCTGCTCCCAGGACAGTGTCAAATTTGCTCTGTGCCGAGAACAGGAAGTTCTAGTTTTTATATATGGCTTTATGAGGATTCCTCAGAAGTGCCATAGGCACTGTAGCTTTCAAGCCTGAAGAAACCTGTTGAAAAAAGACATTTGCAAATAGTTTATGAGTTGGGAGGAGTACTGTACCGTTCCCCACAGAATCAGAGGGGGCGTGCAAAGCCAATCCATGGGTGGACTATGCCATCCTGATACCTGAACTTATAGTCCACATCAAATAATACTGACGCTTGTACGCAAGCAGCGCTGATTGAATTCGGACGCCCCCTCTGTTATGGATGTGACCCCCGAACCAACTGTCTAAAATCCTCAATGTTTCTGTGGTCTGCTTCCTCCATTCAGCTCGGTCGTATTGCAAACTCCGCGATACGGAAGAGGATACCGACAGCGAGATTGAGCAGTGCGACGAGTGCAAACGACTGTTTGGGGTCAACTCCAGCTCTTCGGATATTGACAGATACGGGTCTGTCCATTCCATACAAGAAGGAGGTGTCAGCTCAAGTGATACCAGTACTGCTTAGACAGAAGTAAAAACAAAAAGAAGGATGCCACCCCGACGTATATCCGTAAAACAGTTTTAGGACAGGTGAGGCAAGTAGATGAAATGCATCAGGCCATTGTGCTTTGAGTCAGGAGTGAAACAGGACACTCTGGATGGCCGGCTTGCTGGATAGTGTTCTTATTTATAGAGGATGTATGTTAACCACTTAGCGCCCGGGATCCAGGTACCGGAGATGTTGGCTTTTTACGCATAGCCGGGCTGCCCCGAAATTGGACAACAGGAACTGGGTCTTGTAACAATAGACCAGACTCGGAACAAAAGGCTCAGCTTCTGGGAATTGCCAAAAATTTTCAACACAGAATGCTGGCATTTTCGGAGGTAATCCATCATTGTTTTGAAACAGTATACCACTGTTTGCGGCATTCAGTGCCCGTGGATTATCAGCGGGGACAAAAGTGCTCCAGCACTCCAGGGATGAGTGATACAATACCGCTGCATGCTAATCTGGCCGCATTTGTAAAGACACCACTGCCATTCAGCAACGCAATGGGCCAGTTTCGGGAACAAAGGAAATTATGGAACACCACACAATACCGGGCTCTCTTTACTGGATGGGAGGCCTGGCTGCAGTACCCTGGCGTCAATGGAGATTGCCTGTCAGATTAGAGTAGCCACCAGACAGTCATTCGTATGGGTGTAAGCATTCAGTAAATGAAGTTATGCATTTTTGAACAATTTGGAAAATGGAAAAATCATGGAAAATTGCCTGTCAACTCATCCCGCATGTGCAAATTCCACCCGGCAGGAAGTGGTTAATAGATATGGTGAATATGTGTTAGACTGTCAATTTGTTCTCTTTTGCAAGTACTCAATTTTTTTTTTTAAGGTGGTGACAGAAAAAAGAAATGTAAGTCATGATACTTTTGTGCTTGTCAGGGTCCGGTGTTTACTGTAACTTTTTAGAATATTAAGTTTAGTTCCTTACACTTTGGTAAACAGTACAAGTATTATTTCACTGATTTTTAAAAGCCAAAAAAAATCCAGTCAGTAGAGGGTGCCTCTGTGGGTTGATTTAAACCAGGGCAAACTTGGGCAAAGCGAAAACTTTATGAGTTAATTCATATGCTGACTAAAAGCCACAGTGCCATTTGTGACCTACTCCAAATTTCTCAGGCAGAATGGAAACATTGGGGAAATGCCCAGTAAAATCCATAAATCAACTTGAGTTACAAAGACGAGTTCAGTAGACTTTGTCACAAATATCTCCTAGTCATTCTGAAGCCACTACCCCTCCCACAAGCAAAACGGGTCAGCTTGTGTTGATGTGCTGAGTCAGCTATTTAAAAGCAGTCTAAAGCTTGTGTTTGCTACTTTGTGTCTGCCCTTTCAGCCAGCAGCTGCAGTGGCAAAGGAAAACTGAAAACTCACAGAGATTTTAACACGCACCGCGAAAGCAAAAGACACTGCCAAAGTGACTCATATATTCTTGCATCCTTACGTGGTCCAGATTGGAGTGCATATCACCCTTGCTGCAGAAAGGCACTCTTCAGTGGCTACAGAACAAAATGTCTAGAGAATGGCTTTCTTTCCAGAAATCGCTGGGTTTTGTTAACACTGTTGAAGTTAGGTTGTTGTGGGGTCTTAACCCGGCATTCAGTTGAGGGGAGGGGAATTGGAATGCGTTCTACAGAGGATTGGTCCCTCAAAAAAGAGCCGAGTCACAATGCCAGGGGTTTTTTTTTGGTGTGTGTGTATGGGAAAGCTTACTAGCTGTAGAGTTGTTGGAATGGCAGGACTGGACCCCATGAGACGTTTTCCCTGCCCTTTTTTTTTTTTGAATACGTAATGTGTGCCTGGGTTACCAGTGTGCTACCATGTCAGTTGGGTTAGGCTACCAACTAAACCAGCTGTGGTGGTTGAGATCCTCTTTGAGATCTTCTCTCAAATACTCCTGCAGTACTTGAGTCAGATTCAGAGTGAATGAGAAATCAGTCACAGTGCTTTGACTCTGAACATGCGAAACTGTTTGGATTCTTTGCATTGATTTATCCAGGTATTGTGTGGGGGGGAATGGAATGAGCCAGTTCGGTATTCCAACAGTGCATACCCAGCATGAGGCTATTTGGGAACAGCTACGGGCATGCGCTGTAGTCTGTCCTATTAGGGCAGCCATGTGCTGACTCATGCATGCGCTTTGTTCCTGAAAGAGCTTCTCTTTTAAAATACTGAACCTGTTCGTTTCCTGAAATGACCATCCAACTTGTTCCCCCCCCCTTGCTGCAGGATATGTCATTGATTTGTTGTCGCTATTAACCTCCCCGTGTCCTTCAAAAAATGCTCATGCGAGTTTGAAGGATTTTGCGGGCTTGACAGGAATTTGAGTTCAGCCTTTGTTTCTTCACATGGGGCTTAATGCTCCTTTTTTGGAAGCTGAAGTACAAGCAGGGTGCCAAAAAATCGGGGGGGGGTCCTTAAAAAAAGAGTCACAAAGTAATGTTTTGAATAGGGTTAAACCAATCTTTGAATGATAATGAGAAGGTATAAAAAGGTCATCAAAGAAGCACTTGCCCGTCAAAATGTAAATGTTTACTTCTGAATATGCTTAATCGTAATAATTCGACTTAAGTTTAGTTATTCATATCACTGCTGTTTTCTATTTCATAATGATACTTGGCAGTCAATTTACAATTTGTATGACTTATGTGGTCTCTTAAAATAACAACAGTGGATAAAAAGGGGTGAAGTTCTGGAACAAACTGTCTTTTGGTCCTAAGTGCATTCAGGCATTTAAATTTTACAGTTATTTGCTCTTAATTAAATGACAATCTTAAAGTAATTTATTAAAATGACAATTTCTTAAAGTATCGTGAAATCTAATGTGCTTTTAAATTTAATATTTTTTTTTTAATTGTTGGGATAAAGAGCATTTTGGCTTAGTACTAATATGGAAAATGTTGGAAAGGACTTATAATGAATAATGTTGCTGGAATATTTAACTCGTTGGATTGTTACGTGTCTAATTTTACCTTAAATTAATTGTGGCATTGTTTGGTTTGTAGTTTTCACAAAGAAAGGGGGCAGATTTCTAAAAAAATCCCCTGTAGAAAAAAAGAAACAAAATTTAGTCACTGCCAATTATTGAAATCTCCAACTGTCCTTTGTTAAACTTGTGTTTTCTGTGGGAACATATTGGTAATAGTCCAGTGTGGTGTTAAGTGTCTTGTATTCATGAGAAACACACAATCTTTTTTTCTCCAGCTGAGAGTAATTTTTTATGTTATTTTGTATTTTGTGTAGTTCAAGGAAACAAGCACCCTATCTTGGTGGAATTTTGTGCACTTGTAATGATGACTTGTTTCACTGTCACAAAACATGACTTCCTTTTTTTGTGTAGTTCAAGGAAATAAGAAGCACCCTTACCTTGGTAGAATTTTGTGCATTTATAACGATGACTTGTTTCACTGTCACAAAAAGTTACTTTATAAGTCCTTACTTTTGTAATCCATTGTATGTTACTGTATTTAGCTACTTCGTGCATTCATCTGCTGTTGCAGCATATTGGCTTTTTTTCACTGGAGTTAGTAACTGGCATATCTGAGAATAAGTTGTTATTTAAGTGTGCTTAGTGCATGTATTTACATGACAACCCTTTGGTGAGACACACCAAGTCTTCTATCCTCTGTTTGTCTTGCTGGTGATTGGGTAGTGTTTGTTCTCAGAGCAGAGTCTAAATCAGAAATAGTGAAAGAACCACTTACAGCGTATTTCAGAAAGACGCGGTGGAAGAGGTGACAGCTTTTTCATCTGACTCTGTACATCGTCACATAGAAATATAGAATTTATGTTAAGGAAGAACTTTCTGGAAGGACATGCTCAATTTTGAAATATTTCTTATTTGCAGATGAATAATTAAAACACTTGTTAAACATGCGACTCTTATTCTGAAGTAGATGATACCACGTCAGTTGGAGACTTTTGAGACATTTGATCTGGTGGCTGTAAATTTACCGGTCTCACGTACATTTGTGTCGGTCATTGTTTGATCAGAATCTCAGGAACTCTTTACAGACTTCCTGGGGGGGGATGTGTTAGGTAACAATAGTCTAGAATGTGTATAGGGATTGGACAGGTAAGGGGGTACCCCTCCATCCCATATCTTGCCTGGTATACTCACGTGACTTGTCCACTACTGCATGCATTATTGGAGCAATCACACAACATGCAAACAACAGTGGACTTGGCTGCCACAAAGCGTCTCAAAAATCTCCAAATTGTGCTGTGCTTTTCAGTCAAAGTAGGAAGCTAAATGCTGTTTTTGTTTGTTTGTTATTTGCCATGTACCCTTTTATTTGGAGCTTAAGGCACTTGTATAAAGTCGCCAGTTACTCAGGATTGTAGCTAGAGTCTGTAAATACTCACCACTTGGTGGCAACAGTTTTGGCTGGTAGCTGGTACCCTGCTTACAGTATTCTTTGATGAGAATGAACCGTGGCACAAACCCTGATTTGCTTTGACATCGAATGGAAAGGGCATTAAATGCATTATGTGATACCTTGATCTTGTAATTTGAGAAGATGAAAGACAATTTTAATTGAGAGAATAGATTCACAGAGCACTCTATAAAGCGAAACTATTGACATAAGTTTGGTAATGTTTATTGTGCTATATAAATTTAAGAAATTACTGTCAGCAAAATATAGAAATGTTAAGAATATGTATTTTTGAAAATAAAACTTAAATCTGAAAGTTGGTCATGGTTTTACTAGTGAGTTTTAAAATTGAAGTTCAATTTGGTTTGTCTTTTAAAGGATTACAAACTGTGGCCTTTAGCAGTATACGTTAAAAGAGATTTTTACCCTGAAAATTGTCACAATTATTAATATTACCAATTTCACAGTTTCACCAAAATAACTATTGGTGGTAGAAGTTTTTATTGAAATATCAATTTGTTTTTCTGTGAGCTTGTATTTTTTATTCATTATTACCCAAGGAAGGAAAAATTACTTTTTTTAAGGTTCATGATGAATTTACCAAGTGTTTAAAAATAGGGAGGGAAAGTTCTCTATAAAAATTAGACTCACACGGCACACACCTTCCTAACAACTTATGATCAGCGATGCCCCCCCCGTAAAAAAAATGTGTGGACTGCGTTTTGGCAATTTTATGAACTGAAAATTCGAACATGTATGGAGATACGGGATTCACCTTAAAAACTTTCATCCTTAAATATCCCACTGGCATCGCTGTTGGACAAAATATGAAGTTAGCTAATGACTCCATTTTCAGTGACTGGAGTTCCTTTGCGTCAGCACCAAAAATGAAATGGAGGTCACGTTCACAAGAAAAAATCCGACCCTTCTTAAAAAAGTAGGCCAAGTTGAATTTACTTTGATAAAGAGTTAATCCGTAGATTATCTGAGGTCTGGGTACCCCGAGTTTTCCGATGCAATTTGCATTCATTAATGTGTGGTTTGGTGGGTGGAAGCAGCCGTACCAATCAGCACCACTCGCGCAGGGTTCCATGTAAACTTTATTAGTCTGGATCCCGTTTTGTAACTTTCGAAGTACCTAGAGATTGCCTTGGTGATAATTAGGCAACCAGACCTCGCAATACCAGCCACCCCCCAAAAAACACCTGTCACCTCAATCTGTCGTGTCGCGGCAAACCTGCCCTTGCGATAGCACCGACACGAAGTTGCTTTGGTGTGTGCAGACTAGACGCCAGGGCGATAGCAAGAGAGCTTCAAAATGTACCACGTTCGTAGTTAGCTATTCTTCCATCAAAACCCCCAAGATGTGACGACAGTATTTCCTAGTATGTGAAATAAGGGAAGGTCCCCATATTTGCGACTGGGATTCGTCCAGCTTTAGGTGACTTCAAGCTCGACAAAGGTCTGTGGTTCAGTGTTTCCGCGCCACGCAGTTCTCACCATGGTTCTCTCGCGATGGTGGTCACTTCGCGTTGCCTCGCAGTGCTACCTGCTGTGGTGTGTAATTCTCGGAAGCAAGGCAGGTAGGTACATGTACGTACGTGGTGGTGTGTGGTGTATAGACTCGCGTTATGTCTTGGTTCTTTCTACCATGGTTTAACCAAGTAAATTGTTCGAGGCATAAGGTGCTAGTAGTACACCCGAGGATTTAAGCGAGGGACAAAGTTTTGTTCAGTTTATTTTTGAAAATGTTTTTGAAGATACAACAGATACAAAATAGTTGTTTTATGTTTGCATGTTTTTGGGGGTCAAAAAATTTGGACAGTGAATTATGAAATGAATATCAGTTCTTTCAAAGTAAACTTTTCTTTTGTGCATCTGGTCTACCCTTATGTATCCTGGCTTTAAGGGAAAGAGTTCCATTGAAAGATGCCGCTTGACACCCCGTGCACAAACCCTGTGAGATTGGTCTGAAAAATTCTAAGTGTTTTCTACGTGAATACATGTACCGCAACACTTTTTTTGGTCATGCTATTGCTTTCAGATGGCTAATCGGTAACTGTAGGGGAAAATTAGGGGCATCTGTAGAATTCTTGTATGTTAAAGGCCAGTTAGAGGTCAGGTTTACATCACTCATACTGAATAAAACAGATCAGCAGGGGCTCCATGGTTTACCATTCAAAGTGATTTGTGGAGGCCACTGTTTGATAAATGGTATTATGCAACACCTGAAGTTCATCTGATTGGTGGGTCATCGATCATGTGTTATGAAATTGTTCAGTATAATGAGTGGAAGAAAGGCTGTTGAATGTACGTGGTTGAATAAATATACCATTGTACTGTGTGCGTGGTATATGTAGTCGAGACTTCACACAAACTCTCAAAACAAAATTTGGCCGTAGCAATAAATGCAAAACATTGTACCGTCTTTTGTCAGAAGATGAAATTGTAAGTCATGGTTACCCTTATGATACGCAGAAAAAAACAAATTAAAAAGGTTGTCAAGTGATATGAAAAAAATATAAAACTCACAGGGATGGTTGCCTAAGTGTGAACGGAATATGGGCGACTCACAATAGTGCTCCTCCAAGTGTTTGCAACGTGTTGACCAATCACAATGCATGAAATCTGTCGACCCAATGCGCATTTGGAAAGGTTTGGCAGATTTCGGGCATTGTGATTAGCCAGCACATTGCAAACTCTTGGAAGCACTCTAGTGCGAATCACCTGTATTGGAACTTGAAAACCTCATGTCGTGATTTTATGTTGCGCTTACAAAGCAAAATGGTGACCATTTCAGAGGAATCATTTAGGCATTGATGAAAGTAATTGATACTTAACATTCGTGGAAAGAATAATTTTGAATGCTCTATTCCACTTGGCTTTGCCTTAATGGAATTTTTCAATCAAACTTACTACTTTAACCATAGAAAACTTGCTCTGCCTCAGCTTCTAAAAGCCAGAAGCAAATGGGAGATGGCAGTAGTAACTAATATACCCGCTGCAGGCCCACTGGATGAAGTTTGGCTACTGGTCTGAGAGGTTTGAAAGCTTAAAAATGCGAAAGTTGTGTACACTTTTGAAAATTGTGCAAACACTGTTGACCATGAGGTTGTAAGAAGGGACCAAATCCCCGAGGAAAAGTAATTTTATGACAAGGCAGAGTGACTGGGTTTTGAAGGTGTTAGATGTAAAGATTCCAAATTGAAAAAAAAAAGAATAATGCTTGTCAGTGCTTTTGAAAGGAGAAGCTTCAATTAAGGAAGTTGTAAATCATGGTGTTGACCCACAGGAAGTTGTTCACATGACTCCCAAGATGGGTGTCAATATGATGTCCTGCATTGCAGTACAAGAGTTCTTGCTTACATCAACATGGGTATTTTGAGTTATGTTTTTCTCACACATTTGCACAAGATAAAATAATAGTTGATGCTTTCTGAAAGCCAGGATTGTGTGGTTGCTAGCCCAGATATGGATGTACAGTCCATAATTGTAATTGAACAGTCTGTTATTTGTCAGATCCATTTTCAGTCATTTTTTATTTTTCACTCTCCAAAGTACAGAAAAAGAATTGTCATCATGTGACAAAATCCTAATGCTTCTGTTGCATGGCACATGGTTTATTCTCTGAAATTTGTAGAAAATTCAATGTGGGAAAAATGGTCAGTATGTTTGAAGTCTGTGGTATTGTTTTAGGATTGACAAGTTCTAGATGATTGTTTAATACAATTTTACCTACAGTGTAGTAAAGAATATGAATTTTCAACATCACAGTGAGTGGGTTCTTAATTGGTCTTAAAAATTCCCCACATTCTGTGCAAGTTGCAGAAACAATGGAGCTGAAATACATGTATGCCACTCTGATAAGTTTGTGTGCTGTGAGAAGGTAGCGTCCCTAAGGACATTCACATCATATTCGCTACATAACACTAGTGTGTCTGTTTATTGCCATCGGGAAACCTGATGAGGTCTTTGTAATTGTCATTCACTGGAAATTAATACATGCTGTGGTCTTTTTACATTTATCTGTATGATGATACCATGGGATAATACATGTACCAGCATAATTACAGGGCAAGAACCTGCTTTCTCCTGACTCGTTTTATAATCGGTCAGACGAAGATTTGTACGCACATCTCAATGTACAGATTAATTTAACTTGGATACGTACTGGCAGAAACATGCATGGATGTGTCTCTTTGGTTAGATTTATGGTTTTGTTGTTTTTCTGTGGAGGCTTTTTTGTTTCTTATTGGAGAACTTGCCAGCAGCAAATCTAGCATTTACCAAAGGAGGGGGAGATGGTGCCCAGTATTTACAAAGGGGGCAGGTGAACCCAGCAATGCAAGAGGGGCATATTTTGGTGATAATTGCTGAATTTGATTATATCATAAGCTTGGAACACAGGGAGAAAGGGGAGGTTTCTCCCAAAACAATGAAAACACCCCCCCCTCCTGGATTCGCTACTGCTTGCTGTCTTGTTTACGTTCCAAACAGTGGTTCTTGATGGATTTATTAATAATTAAAAAAAAAAGAACCTAGAGGTGGTGTTTGTGAACAAACACATACCTGTTCCCAAAATGTTTTTTATTGTCTTTTGATGACTGTCAACGAGTATCATAAGTTTGCAATCAATTGAATTACAAATAATTGCCAAAGTGGCATGTATAACTAAAAACAAATTATCACTGCAATTGAACGCATAGTGCATGAGATGTGACGATTTGTGTGTGAAAATGCAACTTCCGGTCAAACCAGAAGTAGAGGTCACATGAGGTCAAGATATAAATTTTCATCTATAACATGTCCCCGACCATGTGCATACCGAATTTGAGTGAAATCAGTCAAATTGTTTACTAGTTATTAGACTGTAAAGAATGAACATTTGAATTGAGGTCACGTGACCCCTGATGACGTCACGATTACAAAAAGGTTCGGGGCACATCTTCTGATGATGGTTAATTACTATACCAAGTTTGAAATTTTTGTTTTCAAATAAAACTTCCGGTCAAGCTGGAAGTAGAGGTCACACGAGGTCAAGATATCAATTTTCATCTGTAACACATCCCTGACTATATGAGCATACCAAATTTGAGTGAAATCAGTAAAATAGTTGACTAGGTATTAGACTGTAAAGAATGAACTTTGAATTGAGGTTTCGTGATGGCGTCATGATTACAATAAGTTTTGCGAAACGTCTTCTGATGATGGTTAATTACTATACCAAGTTTGAAATTGATCGAACTTAAAATAATTGCCAAAGTGCCCCTTAGAAAAAAACAGCGGAAAAAAAAGGGAAAAAATTTGAACGGTTACAAAAGCTGTTCCCAATTGAGATTGGGAACAGCTAAAAAAAACGCTGGTAGAAATTTTGGTGAATAATTTGGGTTGAGTTCTTGTGCAGGTCAGGTGGTAATCTTCACCAAATGTGTATGTGGCCTGTGTTGTGTAAAGCATGGGCATTGCACAATATCTATCAAGTGTTTGGATTTTTATCTTGCAACCAGGAAAAAGTCACCTGTGAGGTTTGCATATCACACACTTGACTCTTGAACTTCTCAAATGGAATGTGTATTCACAAACGGTGTTGACAATGGATTGCACCCTTTGGCAAAGCTTTGACGCTGTTGTCTTGAGTGCCCCATTATATATATGTGTGTGGTGGTTGGAGTGGAGTGTTTCTTGTTTAGTCCATTAGTGAGTCATTTGGGTGGAGAATAAAATATGAAGCATTTTTAGATTTGTGTTATGTACATGTTACTTGAACAAGAAGTATGAACAGTCATCTAAATAACAGAACCAAACTACTTGGCTCATAACTTTCCAATAAAATTGATAGAAATTGTTTTGTCATTCTGCTGACATAACTTTGCTTTTAGTAATTAATGTATTTTTGTCTTAGTAGTAATGTAATTTAGTAGTGTACGTGTTGTTTGACCATAAATAAAAATTGATTGTGTTTACTTTTAATGCTGAAAAAATTGGGGTGGATAGTAGATGAAACACTTTTATTTCGCTTGAACTTTTGAGCCAAAAGTATTAGGGCAGAACAATGGTGAATTAATTTGGGGGTGTCAGATTTCTTACTGGACAATTTAATGCTACATTTCAGCACTGTGTATAATCTCTAGTATAGAATGTTTCAATTTAGAAAGCAGATAGGTTATTGGTATGAAGGCACAACAGCAAGGGTGAGCAAAATGCTTCCTGGAACAGTATTTGTATCACAGCTTTGAATTCTAATACAGTGTCATGTTCATTGGCAGCCATTACTGTATTCTTGTTTTGCTCTCGCAGGCTTGTCTGTTCGTTCTGATGAAACACAACCACAAATGACAACGTCTGTTAAACCTGACCCCAAAGTCACAGAAGCCCACAGTACACGTCATGGCCTGCCAGGACCAGGGGTCACTGATGCCCCTCCCCTGCCTGAGAAGACCAGCAGGCCGCCCCATCAGTCAACGACCAGAGTAGGAGAGCCACTGGCAACAACGGGAGGGGGCGTTGTGGAACCAAGGGGGACAACTGCCAACCCAATCAGGTACACAAGTACCACTCGACAGTCCGAACCATCCCTTGAAACCACAACATTGCCAGTGCCTACTTCAGTGGTACCTGCTCTAACAACGCCGACACCTGCAACTACTGAGCTATCCGGTACCACTTCTGGGTCGGCTCTTGCCACAAGTCCAAGGGTCACAACTGTGCGTGTATCTCCTCCCACAACAGCTGGAGAAGTCACAACCCAGAGAGGACGCATTACAACTCAAGCTTACATGACATGGGCAGCTACAACCAGAATGCTGCAGCAGACAACCAGACTACTGCAGCAAACGACCAGACTATTGCAGCAAACGACCATAAATCTGCAACCGCCCCCTCAGACTGAGCAACACCCACCCCTCGTGCCCACGAGACACGAGCCAACAGAAGAACCCCCTCCCCCTCACTCCCAAGGGCCACCGATTGAGACGGAGAAGCCACCTCCACCCAGCAAGCCCCACAGGCCAACCAGACCGCGGCCCACAGCTCCACCCCGCCTGACAACCAGAGCGGTAGCCAGGCCAACACACGGTCCCACACCCCACATCAGTGAGAGTACACACACCAGCAAGCCCAAGACCCCCATCCCTTACCCTTCTGTTGCCATCCAGCTTGTCCTGCAAGAAACATGGAAGGACTTCTGTGTCAGCATTGAGGATTTTGTCTCCTCCATCGCCAGGTATTCCTGGAAAAGTCTGTCTCTCCATTACCTTCCTTACACAGCAGTCCTGAATGATACCAGAAGCTGCCCCCAGATGGAAACAGAGAGGGACACCCCTGTTGATGTTATTCGCACACAGGTCGACATCTGCATTGAGTCCCAGAAGGGAAGTTGTGATACCAAGCTGACAGAGTCTGTGGGACTTATGATGCAGTCAGACCAGGAAGAACTACAGAAATACCTAGAGCCAAAGGTACACATGTTACCAAAGTGTGTAAAGCATCTTATAGGGTTCCATTAATGAGACCACTTTATTCCATCTCCAACGTATACATATATATACACATTTTACAAAAGCATGCTTGTCGCAATTGAAGTTGAGTAAAATACTACCAATTGCACAGACTGATTGTGCAGTGCATCGTGGCAACTTTCCATCATTTGTGACCCACTCTGTGAAAATGAGTCTTAAGTTTCCAGAGCCACTTTGGAGTAAAAAGTCCCTTAGAATAATTTTGCATAGTGTAAATTGACAGGAACCCACAGCATTTTTTACCATGGAGTATCCACTTTCATCAAGATGCCAAACTGAGTGATACATCAAAACAAAAAACTCAATTTGCTCATTCCAATACAAACGAAAACTCCAAAAGTGGCCTTGGTGACTTATGACTCGATTTCATGGAGTGGGTCACATTTATAGTTTAAATGAAAAAAAAAAGGATGTTATTTATTTAAGATTTACTTGTTCAGGTAAGTATCTTTCAAAAAAGATGGAAGTCTGTTTCTGAACTAAAAGAAAATTATCTTCAAATATCTAGGAGCCAGAGCTATGCAGGAGCCCAATAATTCCACTAATCGTGGGGCCAACTTACCACTTCAAAGCCTAGAGGCATATTTACGGGCCATCACATGTAGCTACAATGTTTAATGCCATTAACTACATGTAAGCTTTTTGTGATCTGTCCTTTCGTTTCTGTGACTTTAATATTGATAATGGCTGACCTGGTTTCAGGTGTTGTCGGTGCATGTCTACGGAGGCTCGCAGGCAACCCCTGGCCCCAAACCATCCAGCTCAACTACCGGGGTCAAGGTGGGAGTGAGCCTTAGTTTGCTGATCACAGTGTCAGTCGTTACCATTGCCGTTTACAAGGTAAAGGCAAAGAAAAAAGGGGGAAAAAAGGAAAGGAAGAAAGAGGATGAAAATATTCAGTTCACATGAAAACACCTTGGAATTGGACCATGTACACTGTTCATGGTTTGCCAGTTTGCTTCTGCTGGTCTGTCCATCCCCTACCCTTTTCATTTCCCTTTCTTCCTTAAAAAACCCTTAAAAGTTAGATTTGCCTCTGAGTAAACTGTTCAAAAAGAAATGTCCAACTTACCTACCCCCTAAAAGAAATTAGTTCAGGTTATGCCCCTGCCAGGATATAGCAGCATAGTGATACTGTTACATCAACTCAACACATTAAGATGATGTCAGGTCAACTTGTTGGCACGTGTTGTATGTTTTAGAATTTCCCCATTTTTTTAACCCCTTTGCGTCGGGACACAGTAAGAGCCGCCGTAAAAATTGAGATCCTCGGCCTGCATTTCAGCTATTATCAACTATAAAATTCCCGTCGTCAAGGGGTTAACTTGCCATTTGCATGCCTGTATGTTCTACCTGAGCACCATCCACAAGCTGTTCCCTATCTCTTGGTGTAGTCACAGAATGGTCACCAAATGTAATTTGCCGTTGACTAAGTAGATTCCAGCAATCTTTGAAATGAATGCCCTTAACCACATTCCAGCTCTACAGATCGCACCTGGCAAAGCGTCGCACCATCCACAACCGTTACTACTTTGATGGGAAGCAGCTGCATGATACGTTGAGCGATGCCCACCAGCTGAGCCCCCTGCACCACCAGCACACTGCCCCCTTCACCATACCGCCGACAATGGCGACCCACAACCTGGTGCCCGCCGTCAACAAGGGACTGATCATGGATGATGAGGAGGACTATGCAGCTCCGGTAAGGCAGAGCGCAAACACTTTGCCTGGTTCTGCCTGAAAGTCTACAAATTAAATTTTTCAATGTTCAATCACTTGTATATCGCAATCTGTCTTATCATCTATTTGTGCTTCAGTGTTTGTTATTTTTGTTGTTACCATGTGGTTGGATTACTTAAACTATTTCTGGTGAGTTAACACAAACAATATCACTTTAAATTCTGCAGGTCACAGTGCAATAAACACTGAAGTAGGATTGCAGTGGTGTCTTCCCTGTTGATGTACGTTTTATTTTCGCTCCAAAAGTGTCGCCCCATTGCAGCAATTTTCATTTCCCGCTTACCAAAAAAGGAGTCGATTTTTGGTGGCTCTTTGAAATGGTTAACAGATCCGTGTTGTTCCATTTTCCTCTGTCACCTAAACCCACACAGTTTGTCACCCAAACAAGGAAGCTCTGTGATCACTGATTTCAAACAATATGTTGGAGGTTTGGATATGTCTACCACACACTGAACCCTCAACTGCCACGTAAAACAGCACACTTTCTTTCTTAACAGAACTATCCGTCCCATGTGTTGAGCATGCACAGCTTATCACAGTTCTACAGCTACTGGGAGGCCATCACTGAAGAATTTGAGGTGTGTAGCATTGTCATCGTTTATAACAATAGGAAGCTTATTTCAAAACCCTGTAGCAACTGAAATGTGTAACATTATTGCACACTGTTGATAGTTATAAAAGATTGCTGTGACAAGTGAGGGAAAACTGTGTCCTCAAGTTTTATTCAGAATCACGACTGAAGAATTTGTGACAGGTAGGCTGAAGTTGAATGTTTTGTAAATAGTAGGATAGAGTCCAGCATGCTCAGGGTCTCATGCACATGTGGAGGAGTTTGGCTGTATGTTTACTGTCATCCAGGCAATGCAAGAAAGATTAGCACAGACTGGTCTTGATACATTTGATTTGAGCAAAGCTGTGATCTTCAGTCATCGAACCAAAATGCTCAGAAATGAGCTGGCCAGAAGACAACATGACGTGTTTTGCTCCATCCTGTGCAGTGGCGTTAAATCTCGGTCGCAAAAGTCTGTGATTGATGTACAGGTGAACACCAGGTGGAACTTACTGCCAAGAATAGTGCAAGTCAATTTCTTGCACATGTGTGGTGTTCATGCCAAAGTGCTGATCTTGTGTGGCCAAACATTTCTTTCCAAAGAGGGCTCGAAAGAAACAATGTGCATTATACTTCAAAAACACTGTGTCAATAAACCCTCAATAAGTTAATTTTGTACCTGCATTATTTTTTCAGACTTTGCCAGATTTCCAGAAGGACTTGGCCAAGTCCCACAGTCCATCCAAGAGCTCCATGGCAGCCCTCAGCCTGTTCCACCCTCCCCCCAAGACCAGGGTGCCCCTGGAGAAGGTCAGCTTGGACAACCAGCATGGATTCCTGAATGCAAGCTTTGTCAAGGTGGGTCTGGCGGGTACTTGGTGACCGTCTTAGGGGTTCATACCTTAAAACTTTAACCCTACATAATACTACAAATTACTACTTGTAGTAAAATGTAGTAATCAGCGCTGTCGCTTGTAAGAGGACATGATCTTATTGTTCTCTGAAGCCATAAAATACAATAGATAAGACAATGTACCATACAGTGCTGTGGCAATATGAATGCTTGGCTTTATTGTTTTCTGTACGAGTAAAAATGGATGTAACCTAGCCAGATATACATGTAGTCATTTGTAGCACTAGGTCCTTCAGGCTCTAGCTATTACTTAGTGTTTTGTAGTACTGACTACTGCAAGCCAACCAATATGCTTGGCTACCAACTGATGGCAGTATTATCTTTACCTCAAAAACAGTACATCCGTGAACTCAAAATGTCACTGCGTGGTTTACTGTGTCATTGTCAAGAAGTCATGTGCAATTAAGACTGCTGTATTGTACAGTGCTTAAAATGCAAAGTGCTGAATCACTTGACACTGAGCAATGTTATTGTTGATGGCATCAGGCATTGTATAACAACCCTAAACTGCATTTGGAGAGCAAATGGGTACAATGTTGGTTTCCCCCTGCTCTGCACTGGATTTATCAGTGCGCAGAGGTTTTTCTTGCTTCTGTGTTCCTGGCTTTATCTGTTGCAGGGTTGTAGTCTAGTACTTTACTTTCTAGGTCCTAAGTAAAATACTAAACTTGAATAGAATGTACATGTACTTTAAAAGAATGAGGAGAATGTTGTAAAAACTGAGACTTTATTAAGACAAATGTTTTCAGAAAGTACTTGCTAAGAACGTTTTTGGTACTTCTTTAACAAGCAGCTGATTGAAATCGAAATTGGTTGTTTCCTTTTGTCATGGACTTCATCTTCAATTGGTCATTGTCTCTTTTGCAGCATTAGCAAAGAAAAGCTCAGTATTTGGTGGTGAAAAATATACTTTGGAAGAACCCGACTTCAACACTTGCTATTTTTTTTGCAAGTTTCACTTCTCTCGGTCACGTGTGTAACAAGTGCCTAAGCATGTATGTGCGCAGAGTTTCCCTATCACGAGTAAATGACTCATTAGACTGGTAGGAGATAACTCATTCGTGCATGCTCTGTGGATGCTGCAGGGATATGGAAATACCAAGTACAGCTACATTGCCACCACAGCGCCCTGGGGCACCAACGTCAACAACTTCTGGGAGATGGTGTGGGAGCAGCAGTCGCGGACAATCGTCTGTCTCTGCTCCCCTGAAGAGATGGGCGTGGTGAGTAATAGAAAGTGCTGCCACCATCATGTTCAGAAATGTCTAAATGACCAGCTTCATTGTCGTTTGATTTTCTGCCTAATCTAGTGAGACTTGGGGCTGTCAAAGAGAAATGCCACCTGATTTTGAAGGTCTTAATATTACCTGATTGGTCTTTGCTCACATTTGAGAAGAATCTTGTTTGCCACTTTTGTGCATCAGTATAAATTTTCATGTGGATGAATGTGACAGGTTGTGCTGAAAACGGTGCAAGATCCTTCTCATGTCTACCATGTTGAATGGTGTAAATCTCCAATCTAATGCTAATAAATTGACTCTTCCAAGATGTTCATTTATTTCTTTTCACTAAGCAAAAGAAGCCTCCAGTTATACATTCCTGGTAATCACTACAAGCACCTGGGACAAAATACTTTGAGTTTTCTACAGAGCAGTTTTATTCCTAGACACATTGGGGAGCTGTTTGAGTCACTCTGAGGCCAACTCACGAAATGCCAAGCAATAGTGCTAGAGATGCTGGTTTTAGTACACACACACTGGCTCACACATGAACAGTATGAATTTTGCAGTGTTCATTCAGAAGTAGGATGCAGTTGACTGTTGGGAAAAAATAACTCTGAGGTGGCTTGAAAAGGCCTAACTGTGGAAGTTCTGGCATCGTTGCACCAGAATAACCATTCACCATCTTGCATATTGACAGGTGTGTCCGTGGTACTGGCCTCGGGATGAAGGCATCCAGAATGCCCAGCTTTATGGGGACATCCTGGTCATGAGACAGGGGTGTGTCTTGACAGAGAACTACTCCATGTCTACTCTCCTCATCAAGAACATACAGGTAACCTGCAAGGGCGGATCTAGAACCAAATTTTTTTAGGGGGGGGGAGAAGGGGGGGTCAAAATTGTTTTGGGAGGGTTTCCGTTTCCCCTGGTTTCACCAGTGGTAACCTGCAACTTACCTCAGCTTGTACCCTCTGCTAAACAGGAATTGCTGCCTCTCGTTCTCTGCCCCTTGGTGAGAATTGGATGGCTGTGGGTCCTCAGTGGGTTTCTTCAGCATTCATGTGCCAGTGCCAGCTGTGAAGCAGAAATCGGGCTCATATCCTGCCCACCTGTTGGAGTTCTCGTTATTAAAAAGACCATCACACAAACCAATAAGACCATCACCAGGCCATTTGGAATGGCCAGAAATGTCAGCATCCTCATAGTCCATCATTTGTGCCATCTTTTGATGACACCTGGTTGGTCTCTGCATATGTTCACAGTTAACGTCCATTTTGTTTAAGCAATCTCTTGCCTGTGTTTTATTCTCAACTTCAGAAAAATCTGTGCCGTCCCATCAACCATTTCTGGTTCACCCAGTGGCCGGTAGCCTGCAACCTGGTGCCCTCCTGCCCCACCCTACTGCTATCATTCCTCCTGCAAGTCAGGCAGACAGTACAGGAAAGCTACGGTCCGGTAGTGGTCCACTGCAGGTAGGCAGGGAGTAGTTTGTTAAAAGAAAAATTGATTGATTTGGGCATCATATTGGGTTATTAATATGGATTGATGCTAACTCAGCCCCAATTCCCTCGCACTCTTTGCTTGTCATCAAGACCTTTTTTTGAGATCTGGCCGAAAAGAAATTCTTATCATGGGACATTTGATTTCATTTAAGTCTAATATGAATTGGGAAAACCTCTGAATTCTTGAACTTTGAACATAACAGTAGTTGGTTTATTTAAAAACTTTTTATTTTATCACCTTGTTTTCTTGAAGTGTTATCATGATTACTTTTTGAAGATCACAATATCACTGTGACATTGGTTCTTGGTAAGCATGTTTCACCCAGGGATAATGTTGATACCAAAATAATGTATCTTCATTCTTATATCAGAAAATCGCACAGTGTTACCCTGTTATTTGAAGTGTTTTGTCACTGAAAGGTTTGATCGAAAAAAAAGAAATTGGAAATGTGACAGAAAGGTCCAGACTTCAAGCTATAATTTGGATTATCCCATGCCTCCCAGGAGGAAGCTGAAGAATATCCACTAGTTATTGATGTGTAGCAGCTGCCAAATTGAACAGGATTTAACAGCTGGGAAGTAAATCTGTCATGGGGATCTTTCCTCTCGTGCAAATCAAGTCTGAAGAATGGGGAGTGAAAATTTCTTCAAAGCACAAGTAACTGTGATCATAGAAAAGAGTAATCAGTTGTAAAGCATGAGGTTGGAATAAACTCAGTTCCCTGCTTTCCAGATTTTAAAAGAAATTAATAAGAACAAGGAAACAAAATCAGATATGTTGCCCTGAATTCCATACGATGCTCAGGCAGACATGGAAAATTATGCCCTTCTTTTGGATATTAGCTTTGTCACTTACTCGCCTACCAATCAGGTTTTTGCTTATCTTTCATTCAGTGATGGCTGCGGAAGGACCGGTACCCTGCTCTCCATAGACAGTGCTATGCGGAGCATGGAGGATCTGTGCACCGTGGACGTCCCGTCCATTGTCTGCAGCATCCGGCATGACCGTGGGGCGGCAGTACTACAGAGGGACCACTATGTCTTCATTTACAGGGTGAGTAGGATTGCATGTCACACCTGCCGTACACCTTTCATTTTCCCAGTTAACTTTCGCACTATATCACCAATACAGTTTTTATTCACATTATGATATACCATAAGGTAACCCATCAATTCCATTCCATAACCAGTCAAATGGTGATCAGTCTTGTGATGAATGTATCATGATGAAAAGTTGCATGTTGGCTGACTGTGTTGGAGGGGTCTACTGTTTCAATTTTTACAACTATTCTTTGTAAATCCAATTTGTTAACTTAAACATCAATTCCGTTGGAATTAGAGTGTTTGCTTGCATATGTGGAATATCGAACATGTTTGATTTCGTCTAGTTGTGTCATGTGCGATTAGATGGGTTAGATTTTTCAGCAAACTGGTCTCTGATCAGTACCAATGATCACTCAGTGGACCAGTAAACAGACAAAATGGAAATGTGTGCGGTGGGTTGTCTGTAATATTCTCACCCACCATTCCCCCAAACAGTCACCTCTACTGATGCATGCCACATTGCTGTTGACACTTTGTACAGAATTCCTGCTCCATTTAATGGGCATTGGGCACATGCTGTGCAAGATGCAATGAAAGCGCCCTCACTCTTTGTTCTTAGTGTTCACAGTGTTGCCCCAGCCTCTCAGAAATCCTGAGATACCTTGGGGACATGTTTGATAATAACAGTGCATGAGGTGTGGACACACTTGCAGAGACACTGGGCTTGTTTGTCTCGCACAGATCTAAAACTGAATCAGTACTCCTTCATTGGTTCACGAACACCAGAACCTGACTAAGGGATGCAGTGAACTAGCATCAGGACCACAGATCAAGGTCCAGATTTATGTGAAACAAGCAGGGGCACTGTCTGTCGTAAACCTTGTATGGTGGATTAAGCTCATCACATCCAGCAGGAACCCAATTATGAATCTAGCAATTTAGAGCTGCTGTCTGTATCCTTGTGACATATCCACCAAGCCGCGGAGCAATTTGTAGAGTAAGGGGGCCAGTTGTGAGACTGTCAGGCATCAGCCATTAATGGGCCAATCCATAAAGGCCCGCCTCATTACAGGACTTGCAAAAAGTTGGGGAGGGGGAAATGGCCCTCCTGACGCCCCCGCTTCGGCCGTCAGCAGGCACATGTCTCTTCTGTACATGTACAGGACACATAAAGTATCCCTGTGGATTTTAAAGCGACATTCTTTTTTTAAACAAAAGCCATTTTCCAAACCCATCCTTTGTCTCCAGCTTCATTTACCACAGGCTATCATATTTTTGAAAAGTCTTTCAAGGTCAAATGGAAAAAGCTGTAAACTTTGGCTTCATATTAGATGATTTCTGTGTTTTTGAATCACAACACAAACGCATTTGCTGATCTCGTGTCACCCCAGGTCAAGGGAGGTCTAAACATCCCACGAATCCAAAACTGGGCGATGAAGCTGAATTTCAAGAAAACCCTAATGCAGACCTCCCAACGCTCCCGATTTTGGCAGAAAATTTTCACTTTGTTTCCGCCATTCCGATTTAGCCCCTAAAATTTCTGCCAAATCGCAATTTTGGCACGCCAGTGTATTACCAGAAACTGTCCATGTAATCTTGTGTATGTACCGTAATACAACTAATCCGACCGACCTGAACAGTCATTGCAGTGCACTTTGCATGAGCCACGTCCCTGGCAGCGCATTCTTTTGACACGTACCAGCCGCGAGATGGACTTGATATATGGACGTGATACTGAAATTGTTCATGGACAAATATGCCGTCTATCAACAAGCTACATTGTAACTAACATTGTATGTGTTGTGCGGTACCCGGTTTTGCCAGGAACCGTAGCTAAGAATGTTTGGATCCAAGACTAAAGGCTGCTGTGAAATCAATCACGATTATGTCAAATGTGCAAGCACAGCGCGATGAATTTTTTGCTGAATTTCACGTTGAATCTACACATTCAGGAGATGAAAAATTATTGTGGACCATTTCAGATGATGTAAACTCTTGTGGAAATCAAAATTTTGTGGAATCGGTGAGTACGTGTGTTACTGTACATCATCACAGACACAGATTCGACTTCTGTACAATGCATCGCTGATTTTTACTTGTTCATGGTAATATGGAGAATATTCCATAATATTTCATGAAAAATTCTGACTTTTGGGGATAAGGATTCCGAATTCTTGATAGCCAACATTGGAAGGTCTGCTAATGTAACCTACATTCTTTTGTGGCAGACACTGTACGAGTATTCTGTCATGCTGACACGAGGCTTAGCCGATGGAAGGGCTGCAGAGATGGATGGAATCGATGGAGATGCCAGCCTTTGTTGAGCATTCACCACCCCCTGTCAGATTTGACATGTCATAAAGGACTTTTATTCTGTGAATAGAGTCTTATTTGGGAACTGTTGCATAACTTGGGTGGATCTTCTTGCAGAGAACCTAGGGGTGCAGTGGTTTTGTTTCAATGGGGAGCACCGAAAGCAAATGAAATGGGGCTTGTGTAGACTAATCCGAGGAGACGCCAACCGCGGTGGCATCGCAGTCACACTCACATTCCTGATCCTGAGGTGCGAGCGCGCTTTGGGCAAATCATGACACCCTATTGGTCCAAGTGGCATGTCACGCACGCGTGTTACCTATTTATGCACGTTGTGCCACCGCAGTAATGGCTTCTAATCCCAGTTCTGAAATTGTGGGTTGTGTATGATTTTGTGTATGGGTTGTGTTCACTGGGGGTGGGGAGGGCACCAGTGGAGTGGGTGGGGCACAGATGTCTGTTAGGAGGAGGAACATGTTACAAAAGTGGTCCCCCTGTTGTTACGCCTTGCAGTCCTGTTTGTGACATGTTTGGGCATTTGAGGCAATAAACCTGATTCTACGTATCCTGAGTTATGCAGACGTATTTAAAAATGCATGTAGTCTGGATTTTAAGAGTAAATAAATGGTTTTTAAGTATCAGTTGCAAGGATCAACAGATATTGTGTCCCTGGGTTGGGAATGTTCAAAAGTGTTGGCTCTGAAAAGAGCTAGTGGTGTGGAAAGGTCTTGACGATTCAAGTAGTGTGCTTCGTTCATTTTCAGGATAATCAATCACTAATGAACGGTAGTGCAAGCCATGTAGAATCAGTACATATCATACCTTTTGCAGCAGTCTCTGATGATGGTAATGAATCCATTCCAGCATGAAGACGGAATATCTTAACCCTAACCCCTAGGGTGTATGTAAAATTGTATTGAAATTGGAGGATTTGGGAGTGTTAGGGTTAACAAAACATGGATGCGTGATAAATTCTTATAACATTTTCTTTCATACAGGAGGGTCGTATTATCAAGTGATCATGCGCATAATTGGTACTATTGAGCAAATACAACTCATATTTAATATTTGCAACCTAAAATGTACAAACTGTTACAACTCACCTTATATAAAACTCTATATTTTTCATTCCAAATATTGTAGTACTATATTGTAACCTTTCTGAGTACATGTTGAAATTTACACCATCAAATCAAATACTTGCCAATGTTATATTCAATATTCAGTGTAAGCATTTTGAGATTTATTTTATAATTACTTAGACCAATTGATTCAGGTAACATTTTCTAGCTTTGGACAAAACTCTTATATTTAAATTTTTTTAATGATCTTGTTTAATTTGGACATATTTTTAATGTACAAAGATTAGTTTTTAATAATGGACTCTTTCTAGAGCAACCCAAATAATGAGGCATTCTTAAAAATAAGATGCTATTCCTTAGTCTTTGGCTCAACAGTACTGCCACATTGCAAGCCAAATGGAGGAATAAGGGAAGAACAAAATCATACCGAGTAATCTTCATGCTTGACAATCAGTGCACGACAATTCACAATCACAATACTCTGTGTCACCAAGAGGTTGGCACGGAAAGGCCATCTTTCGTAGCAAGTTGAAGGAAATGGTCATCAATTACTATGCCTTGGCTGCAGGCAGGGAGCTTGAATTGTTCCTGATGTTTTTACGTCGGAGGATTCTTTAGTGTTTGAGTGGCAGTTTTCATTACTCATCTCTTCTCTCTGTAGCATGGAATGTCCCAAGCTATACACAAATTTACCCAAAACGTTTCTACTGACATACGCTCAACCGCAGATTGCGACAAGGTGGCCATGCTTTTGTTGACCTTGATCTTGGAGAATGGCCTTGCTCCTGTGTCAACCTCTCTGGTGGCACAATATTGTGAACTACCTCTTGAAGGGTGAAATGGAAAACATTTCCTCTTCCGAAGTGGGCCCACAAGAAATAGAAATCTGGTGCTCAGATAAGTTGTGCAAAAAGGGCTTTGTTTTATTTCAGTCATGGGTGTCAATCGGGGGAGGGGTTAAGGAAACACTCCTCTCCCCCATTTTTTACCATGGGGTGGACTATTGGATCATCTCTCCTAATTTTTTTGTGGGGAGAAAAAAAAGTTGGATTGGGTTGGGTTGGTCACAAATTGGCAGTGTGAATACCTGATCTGACGTCACAAATTCGCTTTCGTCTTTGCTTTCGCATCAGAAGCTGTAAATATGGCATTTTATGTGGAGGTCAAGGTTTGTATGTAAAGATTACATCTGTATTATGAACCGCGTCTCTAGTATAGTGTGTCCAGCGATTCCCCCCCCCCCGCTTTTTGAATTTTACAGTGCCAGTCCAGGCATCGATGTACACTTGAAAGCAGCAAAACAAAATTAAAAAGTAATTGAGGTGCAAATGTACAGTTTCAAGGCCTGTATGAAAAAAATGCACATTGTTTGGACGCTGTGTCCTGATTTGTGATAACATAGCAAGGTGGGGAGGTTGGGAATATTGTTGGAGGGGATTTCTTCTGTTTTTCTCAGTGTTAGTAATCCATGCACCTGACGTCACTGTAACATTACGTTTTAGTTACCCATACAGGTCGTGATTTTAGATTTTTTAAAGAATGGAGGTGTGCTTTAAGAATGAAATGAAAAGTTTATTTTAATTCACAATTTTATCGTTTGTATGCTTATAGATTCAGTAATGTTTTAAGACCATTATTAATCATAAAAACTGTATTTTCAACCAAAGACAAAAATAATCAGTGGACATTGCATGGTGCGCTCTTGAACAGTACAAACATGGAAATTGAGACATTTTTGAGGGAAATGATCCTGAAAGCATCTTCAGCTTTCTTCTTGTAGTTCTGAAATGTACAAATACAACTTTTCAAGTGTTGTTTCACATCTATCATGTTGTAGCCCCGAAGTATGCAGGCGCTGTTTGAATGTGCTGCTGAATACGTCTCTCAACATGGTTGAATTGTATGAATAAATTGAAGTGAAAAGCCCAATTCTTGATGCTGTATAGGCCTGTGTCCTTTCATTTGTTTTAAAGAATCCAGTACTGTAATGAAATGTTATCAAACTCTACACTCAGAAATCTAATAAAGCAGTTTGATTCAATTAATAAAATGATTGTTGACAGTTTTCATTGGAAATGCACGTAGACCCCGTTGGCTGGGGTGCTTTACTCCTTTTGCTCGATGGTGGGCATTGGTCGGTCGCACTACATCGGCCTAGCAAAAAGCACTGAGCCCCCCCCCAAAAAAGTGCCCAATGTGACGACGAGGGACGCGGCACAAATACTTTCAAAATCACCTTCATAAAATTAGACAGGTTTCCTTCACAAGTCATAGGCGAACTAAGTGAAACTTGACTGATGCAATCAATTCTTTGGCAAGCACGTAAATGGATGATATTCGACCGTATCTGTTAACCTTCCATTTTACGCCTATCGATTTTTTTGAAGTGGGCAAAACAATTCCACATTAATTGCATCAACGAATTGCCGGATATTAACAAAAAAATGGCCAAAAGGACTCAGTTTGTTATGGTCAATTGACATCGATCAACCACAACGCAATACAGATGTGTCATAACGACCCCGCTTTCCAATGCAACGTGCCAAAAGAGACGAATTGTCACTTTCAATACTTTTACGTGGACCTGTTATTCTGTACTGTATGATGTTGCCATAGCTACGCACCCTGGTCAGTTTCCATAGCAACGTCGGGTAAATTTAATTACCGAAATCTAGTTCAGCTATTGGCCATTACTAACGGGACCCAAGTCACACAACTCACCAATTCCGCTCGAAGCTGAATTGTTATTGGGCTCTGCGTGAAGCATATTTCCAAGCATGTTATTAATTGCTGAAGAGTTTGTTTCTTGCAGAGCTCAGCGTTAGAATTCTGTATCTGAAACTTGATACGACGTCTTTTAGTGGAGGCACCTATGCGGCCAATGGAACAGGTAAAAGCAATTTGCTCGTAAAAAAGGAAAACCTTTTCAATTAGATTTTCCATTAAAGTTTTGTTAACGAAAAACTTCGACATTTAAACACTGTCAGCTTCGAGGAAAACATGGTTCACAACTGTGTCTTGGGGACGCTGCTCCACTTAGTATTTTTAGCGGATCTTGTAAATCCACTTGTCACCTTACCCAGATGTCCACCAGGCTGGATACTCAATGGTCAGTCCTGCTGGATGGCTATTCAGGACCAGGTTAGCATGGCCGAAGCTCAGACAGCATGCCAACAACTTTCAACAGACAGCAACTTGGCCGTTCCTAGTTCAAAGACCGAGGACGACTTCTTGGTACAGCTGTTTCAGGAAACTTGGCCAAACCCTCAGAGCGATTTGTGGCTGGGCTGCACGGTCAAACTGCCTGGCGACACACTGACGTGCTTTGAGGAGTTCCCTGGTCCTGAAGGGCACAACAAATTCCTCACATCGAGTGCATCGAATGGGGATGATCACACGTGTGTAGTGATGGCTACAGGTGGAACTCAGTGGCTCGCAGCTGTTTGCCATCGTTGGAGGTACACCATCTGTGAACAGCCTGCTATGGTGTTTGGCGGGACCCTTCAGTGCTCTGCTATCAGTCTCAATCATGCTGGCCACACCCGAAGCTGCTGCCTACTGAACCACGCCTTCTCCGTTACCCAGACCAAGAGCCCCATTCAGTGTTGCATTGCCTGCATCAAAGATCCCAAGTGCCACTCCTTCAATCTGTCCGGGCAGACGTGTCAACTAAACAATGTCACCATCGCCCAGGTGGACCACGGCAAGTACCTGAAAGTCGGGGAGGACTGCGGCTACTTTGAAATGAAGTGGACATAGAAGATGGCCCCCGTGTTAAGATGGCCCCTCTACATATTCGTAGACAAGTTTGCATACTGTATATAATGCGCGTAAGTGTAAATGTGACCACTACTGTGCACTACGCAGTGCCCTCCAACCTTTCGGTCAAACACAAGAAACCAGCAGTCTTAGGTGATGCACTGCAGCATTTGCACCCTGCTTAAGGCAGATAAGCTGGGAACGATCACAAGGCTCCTCCAAATGCAAATTACCATTTCAATATTTTTTATTGGTTGGTAAACATCAATTCACATATAGCAGCTTCCTGCGAGTTTACTTGACAAAATGCAATTTAAATCTAGCCTATATAGTAGCAATACCTTCAGGTTAATTTTGCACAAGACTGAGTCAGTGAGATCGGCAGACGGTAGCTCATCTGCACGTAACTGCGTGGAGGCAATTATTTTGCCACTGGAATAGGTAAAACGATCTCCTCGTGGAAGAGGAAAACCTATTAAACGATCTTCTCGTGGAAGAGGAAAACCTATTCGTTCAGATTTTGTCAGCTATGTTATGGAATACGTAATTGTTGAAGTACGCTGACTCTGTAGGAAACCACTGTTCTCAACTGTGTTTTGAAGACACTTCTCGTGTTTTACATTTCACTGGGCCTATCGTGCCTATCAGGCGGGATACTTAACGATCAGTCCTCCTGGATGAACGAAGTTGGCAATTGACAGCAGGGCCGAGAATGCTTTCCTGTATGGGCTGTATTGAGGAACTTAGCCAGAACAGAAAAAAAACCTTCGTGGCTAGGGTGTACGGCCAAACTGCTTTATAACACACTGGCGTGATTTCAGAATTACTCTGGCCCCAAAGGGCCCAATGAACGACGTGTAGTGATGTCAAAGATGGGACTTAGCGGATGGAGGTAAGTGGCCAGCAGCAAGGTTCAACAGGACCCTTCAGTGCTCTGCAGCCTTAGTCTCTTACTGGCAACACACGAAGCTACTCTACTGTCTACGTAACTGGAACACACCTTTTCTGACACTCAGATCAAGAGCCTCGCGTTTAGTGTATTGCCTGCTTCAAGGACCTCAAAATGCCAGTCATCATTCAATTTATCCGCGAGGACGTGCCAACTCGACAAAGACACCATTGCCTAGGTCGAACAGGGCAAGTACGTTTCCTGAAACAAGGAGAATATTGCAGCTACATCGAACTTGTGGGCCTAACGCTTGAAAGACATGCAGTACACAGAGTAAGAAATAACTTGCGTAATATTCCATTTAATTTGGCGAGTTCATTCTATTGAGTACAGAAGTTACACGATCTTTTACCGAAGCACTCAGCATTGAGATGATTGGTCACAAACGTCGTAGTGAGCAAACAATCGACACACAATCAAATAGATCTTATTATCTCAAATTGTACTTGGAGACAGCATCTCAACGTTTCACATCTCGAAAAGCCCAGTTTTCTACCTAAGCTCTCAGGGCTGTGAATGTTCCAAGTTTTCTGGCGTTTTGCTCTATAGTTAATGAAGCGAATTTGAACTTCGCTATTTATAAGCCGTCTAAGTTATGGAACTCATTTGAGTAAGACATCGTTCAGTTTTCCAGTTCAGGTTTCCTTTTGAAAATTGAAAATACCCCTTTCTGCATAGCGGAACACACACTTGAAGAAACACAAATACTTTCTGAAAAAAATCATAATGGTGTTTGCGTTCCCTAAAAATGTGTCCCACTTGCCAGAGAGAAGTGAAAGATCATTTAAAACTTTGACAATAATTTCTTAACGATATGCCTGTTACAATCTTAAAATTAATGATATATGCGTTCACCGTCAGGCCTACTTGAAACTTTGAAACACCAGAATCACTTGATTAACCACCATACAAATTCATGAAAAATACTGACTTGTTAACCTATTAACATTGAAACAAACGATATCAAACACAGAAGTCAAGTACTTTTTGGAGTGGTATGTCAACTCGATCGAAATCATTGTTACTGTCTTTTGATTTGTTGATTTTTAATTGCAAATATCAATTGACAAACGTTAGCCGTGAAGAAAACAAAACATATGTGATACACTTCATTTTCAAATGATATATAGTTGATTCCCGGCAAAATGCTTATGAGAGGGGATAAAGTTTTTTCAGATAACTATAACTTAAAACTACAGATTGATAGGATCATTGTGTTAGAGTATGGGCCTACATGTACACGTATCTGTACAGTTGAGGCAAAAAGTTTATATACACCATGGTAGAACAAAAACAAAACAGTTTTCCTCGAATTTCACAACTTCACACTCATTCCTACCAACTTTTCTTTTCATGAAGACAGACAAGATGGGTCTATACTTAATGTACATGGTGTATGCGTCAAATGAACACCCATAGATATGATTCATAATTCTTTATATTTACAAAAAAAAAATCAAAATCTTACATACACCAACCCTAATATGTAGTGCCTGTTTCTGTATTTTTGTCACATCTCATAGTTGCAGTGGACCACTTTCTGAAGTGTTTTTGAACGGCAATTAGGGGGTAGATGTAAATTTTCTCAATGAATGATTTTTGAACCATAATAAATGTCTCTGAGAATTTTCAATTGAACTACACGCTATGAACATTTTAGTTGAGATACAATTTGTCTGACCTCGTGGAGAAAAAGTTGGCACAATTATTTCAAACAGCGAAAAATTGAGGAAAGCTGTTTTTGTATCAAGTGTTTGCCCCAACTGTATTATGATTTACGGAATTTGGTGGAAGTCTCAATAAAATTTTTGTCCGACGACGATGTTTGTGTCATAACACGACTGGCCTAATTGATAGGCCTAATTCTAAACGTTATATTAGTGAGTTAGATTGAGTACTTTTTGTCACAGTCAAGTCACAATTCATAATGTGGCAGTCCAAGTCAAGTCACAAATCAAAACTGATAATTACAAGTCAAATAATGAGTCACAAAAATAGCGACTCCAGTCCGATTCGAGTCTAAAGCAGGTGGCTCAAGTCTTTAACTCTGAAAATTGCGCCCTCTCTTGGTCCAGTCCGGGGCTCATAATAGTGTCTAATTTCCAACTTCCTCTATTGCTGGCTGTAATAGGTTGAGTTTTGCCAATTGGATCGGTTTCTGTTACTTCATACTTTGTGCTAATTAGGGTTTCAATCGTGTTTAATTGGGAGAATTAAGCTGCATGGTT